TAGCTGATCCTGTTCAAAAGTTATACGTATTTTTCTATTTTTATCCAAAAACCTCTATTTATAGTCCGGACGCTGGCTCGGTTTTCGTAAAAATTTCCGACTCCACGGCATTTTTACACGTTTCTAGACGTATTTTGATGCGCTGAATCGATTTTTTGAGGTTGATTTTCTCGAATCAGGTGCGTTTAAAAGTTATAAACAAATTAATTGTTTAAACGGCCATATCTTGTAAAATATTGAAGATAGATTAAAACAATTTGATCGATTACCTTTTGGAACGTCTTAAAATTTTCGTTTTTTGACGTACTTTCATTTATATTAAGTTGCTACGTTATTATAATAATTTATCCCATCGAAAAACGCGTATAAACAAATGAAAAGTACGTGACAGTCACTAAATTACGTCACTAGCGTTATTCGTAGTTGGCTCGTTCCTTATAACGGAATCGTACTGATTCCACTGCTCTAAGGGATATCGATGCAGCGGGAACTTCAGGTTTCAGGGCTTTTAATGCGCGAACGACATCCTGCGCTGGAACGTAACATAAAGCCGCTATCATTGTTGCATAATCTCGTACAGATGAATCATCAGGGTTATTGTATTCTTTCTGCAATTTTAGTTTTTGAATCTGTTTGTACAGACTCTGCTTCAGGTGAAAGAAGCATAAATGTATTTCAGCATCCGGATATACTTCCTGGGCAGCATTAATTATTCCTAATTCAAAGTCGGTCATAATTGCTTGAGCATGGAAGGGTTGAATGCTGTACTCTGCAGCTGCATCTTTCAATGCCTTCAACGTAGCCCTATACTGCTGTTCTTCTTTCGATGAAAGTAGAGCGTACGCCAGGGGCAAGCAAACATTTTTTGAATCCGCTTTTCCTTCACGAGTTTTGACGGTGCCGAGTACGGTAAAAACTTGCGTGAAAATGGTGGGTGCAACCTGCATAGAACTGCAGGGTTGTATATTCGGGGAAATATATATTCGGGGAAATGTATATTCGGGGAAATGTATATTCGGGGAAATGGCATCGGGGAAAGCGTCTTCGGGGATTTCTTTATTCGGGGGAATGGTATTCGGGGGAATGGATTCGGGGGAATGGGCGGTTACCACCGAATTGTTGTGTAGGTTATTACCTTTAAAATGAGACGTCGATGAGCTCGATCGCACTAATACGAGCCAAGTTACGGGGGTTGAAAGATAAAAAAGGACGTATTTCTAGTAATTTTGCACTAAATATTGCATAACTTTTTTCTAGTGGACGGATTTTTAATTAATTTAATGGAAATTCTTTGTCTTTTAAAGACAAATAAAATAAAAATAAACTGTTTCAATCTATCTTCAATATTTTACAAGATATGGCCGTTTAAACAATTAATTTGTTTATAACTTTTAAACGCACCTGATTCGAGAAAATCAACCTCAAAAAATCGATTCAGCGCATCAAAATACGTCTAGAAACGTGTAAAAATGCCGTGGAGTCGGAAATTTTTACGAAAACCGAGCCAGCGTCCGGACTATAAATAGAGGTTTTTGGATAAAAATAGAAAAATACGTATAACTTTTGAACAGGATCAGCTAGGATTTTGGTTCGAACGGGGTTTTCATCTGTGATTGACCGACTAAACAGTGGTGCAATCAGTTTTGGTGGCCATTTTGATGAAACCTATCGCGGCTTCAGGCCCACCGTGCCGAGTTCTCGAGGTATCATAAGCTTATTTACAGTTTTATGAAAATTCACTTACAATGTAAATGATATTACGTAATTTCAATGGTATTTTTGAATTTAGCATTCAACGCAGAAAAGTTAATACATTTTTAATTAATTTTTTCAGCAGACACCCATAGAAGCATTTCTACTCTTTATTTTGTTGTAAAAAAAAATATTCAAGAGTTTGCGTCGAGGCAGAGCAGCCAAAGAAAAAGCTCGTGCACAAAGCACGAACGAGAAAGAGTCGGGTGTTTGTGCCTCGAAGAATAGAGGCCAGGAGGGAGGTTGCAAAAAGAAAAAAGGAAAAAAAAAGAAGTTCGCTGCGGTGGCATGGAAGAGAAGAAAACAAGACGCACAAACAGGAGACGGATGGCAAGGCTTGGCCGCCACTGCGCGAGGTCAAAGAGCGAGGGAGCTTCATCCTCTTCTCGCTCCGCCGTTATCTCGCTTCTTTTTCTCTCTTTCTCGACCGAGCGCAGTACCAGCAGCAGCACCCTGGAAAAGAGAGAAAGAAAGAGAGAGAGAGGAAAAAAGAAAAGCAGCACAGACGCTCGGACATCAGTCGCCCAAAGGGTGGAGAAAGAATTGCCGTTGCTGTGCTACATCCCTCCTCCGCCCACATATCTTGTCGAGATACACATAGTCAAAGTAAACTTCTGTAAAAATAAAAAAATCTATGAAGCTCAAAAATGAATTCACGTGAAAACAAGGTGATTCGATTTGAACCTCGATTTTCTCGAAATAATTCAAAAACTGTCATGCTTGTCCTTATAATTTTTGAAAGTAACTGATAAAATTCACTATTGCGCATGAAAAAAAATAATAAGTCATAAAGAACCAGGGAAACCTACTGGTTGAGAAAATGGAGCGAAGAGAAATGGAGAAGATCCAACGCTCGCAAAAGTCTCTGAGTGAACCTGGAGACGTTCGATATCCCCGAGCTTCGCAGAAGCGGAAATCCTCTCTGCCACCCCATTGGCCACCGCACGTTTCTACTGGGTTCTTTTTAGTGTTGCAGCTCCACGTATATATATAGTCGCAGCCGCACAGCCTCGTTAGACCATCCAAAGAATAGTTTTTCACGGGAAAACTTTTTATCATCCCGCACCCGATATGGAGCCGAGGCGAAAATTCACTAACGCAAGTTCGAGCTCCTTTTCGAGGCGATCGTTACATAAAATTATATGTGTTATTTCTTTCGAGAAAGAGCTCGGCTATTAAACATTTTAATAGACTTACACTTTATTTCCTGCGTTTGCCACTAATTTTTCCCGAGTCGGTTCGTTCAATTGCTTGGATTAGTAACAATAATTTCCATTTTTTTGATATTTATAAGCTTAATTATTTTTATGTAACTTGTGAATGAGTTTAAATGACTAAGAAAATGCATGCGATCGTAAAAGCTGCAGCGTTGTAAGAATTTTAATTAATCACTATCTCCTCATATTCCATTTTCATTTTTTCATCATTTCAAAAAGAAAATTTTGAAGACAGTCGTAGGTATACCTATTTCAGATCAACTCCACAAATGTATGGACTTGCGGATGAGAACAGAACAGAATGAAAAACAGTAATGTTAACTCAACATAGCTGAACATAAGATGAGCTACTTAAAAAATATAGATAGAACTTCTGAATGATTACTTTATTTTCACGTAAATATGAGCCATTTACTAAATAAACTCGTTTAAATTGTTAGAAAGGTAAGAATCGTTAATAACGGCATACTTGCTAACTATACTTTTTTACTACGATATATTTTTTTAAGCCCACATTACAGCTTCGTCAAAATTATCGCGGTTTTTTTGCTTCAAAAGCAACAAAAATAATCTTGCCATCCGAATCGCAGTACTTCTTTTTATGGAAAGTAAACAATTGGTCGAAAGAATCTTTGCCATCTCCTTGGACGAAAATATCAAAGATATATATCGTCGATCTTTCTTGCCACTTTTTTTACGACTTATCAATTTAGCAATCTCAGGCCGACAGGCTCGCGCGTCTCTGCTCCGGCGCATATAACAATCGACACCGTTAGTCGCGCGCGCGGGCCCATAAAAAATTTTTGAAACTTCTTCTTTGTCAGTCGAATTTCTCAAGAAAAAGAAAATACCCGAGCGTAAAATTGCTCCGTGTCCTCTGTGCCAAAAAGTGTATAACAATAAAAAAAAGTGCATCGCGCGCGCTCGCGAGACCTTATAATAATTTTCGCTGCGCGCACGCGTGATTATGTCTTTCTCTCTCTCTCTCTCTCTCTTTTCGACGCGCGCGCGCAGCAAGGTAATTCGATAATTATGGCAATCATCCCGCGCGCTGCGCTTCATAGGCCCACCAGACTCTCTTTTTCGCAATTTTGGGACACATGCGACGCGATGACTGCGCACAAAAGCCCAACGACAATGACGACGTCGTTGCCGTTGTCGGAGAGCTCCGCGCCGAGCTATTATCCACTTTCGCTATACTGCCGATCGTAAAAAAATAAAAATCGGTCTCGGGTTGCGCGCGCGCGCAATAAATATGTTATTATTCGTCCGTATAATGTATTACACCCGATTTCTGTACAGCCAAGATATTTTTGAAGAGATCACTTTTTTCGGTCCTATTCCGTTACCTATCGCATAAACAGCCCACGTACATTTAAGTTTCTCATAGAGCACGATGAAAACAACTCTTAAGTTAGGAAATGGACAAATGAAGCAAATTCATTGCGAAGTTGTTTGATTTTTTTTTACTTTCTTACGTTAAAAATTTCATTTTTGTACAAATTATTGTTAAACATAAAAATAATGTTGCAACATCAAGAAATTGATTTTATATGAAAATAAAGAACTGAAGATTATTACAAAAAACAGTTCAATTTGAACAAATAATTTCGATTTAAACTTGTCAAAATTGAAACAGTACTTGAAAATTTTTATTCAAATAATAAGAATTTCAAGTGCTACTTACTAGATTTTTTTGAAAATTTAAATTATAGTCAATTGTGTGTCAATGGTAAAATATTAAATTTTAACTTGATTTTTACCAAACAAAACGTTTACATGAATATGATAATAACGAAACCCCTTCCTAACTTTCATACATAAAAACATCTTAGTATAATGGATCTACGTTAAACTGTAGAAATAGTCGAAAGAACATTATTGAGTTATCACTGAAAAATATAAGGCACTTTCCCATAAGTGGCAACATTTTCTACGATGAATGATTTTATTGTAAACATTCATAAAAATGATTGTGTAACGATTTATGAGTAAATATTTTATATTCTCCCATGTATTATAACATTTAAAAAGTTTAGTTGCAAATTTTTATAAAAAATAATACTACGTATGACCAATTATCATTATTCAATAATAATAATTAGTCATCAATGCTTATAACTTCTGGCTCTTCTTCATTTATTGCTGAATTTTCTTCGCTCGTTAAACTTTCTGAGTCTGCACTCCCTAAACTGACTGAATTTTCATCACTTTCTGCATTTGTATCGATTTCATTAGTCGATACGGGTACGCATCCATCATCTTTATCAGCATCATTCCTTTTTTGTTTTGGGGGATCTTTTTTTGGAGCTCCTTCATTAGATAAACTAATTTTTGGAACTTTTGGAGGCAACGGTTGTCCAAGTGGTACAGATATTAACGTTGCTCGTTTTGGAGCTTTCGTAGCTCCTGTTTTGATTGATGGTATAGCCGTAGCACCGGGTTTTTTGATTAACAATTCAGAAGTTACGGGTTTTTCAGTCAATTCTTTCTGTTTTTCTTCAGTCGTCATTGTCTTGGTAAATTTTGTTATCAGACAAATTCCTTTTTTCTCTGGCTCTCTTTTTTTCTCTGATTCATTTTCTTTTTCTTTTTCTTTGTCTTCGTTATTTTCTTCTTCTTCAAGATCGAGATTCTTTTTTTTTGGTGTTAACAAATACTGCCACCGATTCGGCAATGACAACTTTTCTTCTGGAAAATATTTTTTTCTAATTTCTTCAGACACAAACCAACAAAGCTTGTCCTTGAGAGGTCCAGCTTCTTGACAATTGCCCCACGTGGCTATCTCGGAAATTTTCGTATGCAGTCTCGCCTTAGGTATGAGTTTCTCTTCCATCCCCTTCTTTTTGGTCCAAAATTCGATGAACTCCTTGACCAGGAAAACGCGACTATGTCTGTTGCCATGGAGCAATCGGATGAGATCTGGCATGGCTTCCTCAAAAGCTTTAGCTTTGCGGGCACTTGCGTGCTTATTCGATGGTGTGGTACAGGCCTCGTTTGAATTGCCAGATTCTGCCGGTGGAGTGAGAATAATAGGCCTTTCACGCGTCCATGCTTGATGAGTCTTTAGGAATTGCACATGAAGAGGACGAGCTGAAAAAAATTGTTTTATTCATAAGCAGGTACGAAAAAAAATAATTGTATAAAATGTCGTAATTAATTTACTGTTTTCTGGGCATTCTCCGTTAGCGTTAAGCCAAATACAACCTATGACTTTGGGTTTCAAATTTTTCACAGCTTTTTCTTTTCTTTCAGCTTCAAACTGTTCTCCAAGTACTTTCAACTTGGCTTCTTGCTTCTCCGGATTCTGAAACAATTAAATTATTCACAAATTAATACCATGGATAGTAAAAAAATGAAAATGATTATAATTTGATTACGCACTTCAAAATCTTCGTCTTCTTCTTCTTCATCGGCGTTTATTTCTTCGTCCGATAAGTATCTGAAATAAAAGAAAAATTTAAATCATACAATAATATAAACGAAGATAAAAAATATAAATAAATTACCCGTGAGGAACGAAGAATTCATTATCGACTTCATAATCATCTTCAGCGTCTTCTTCTTTATCCTTTTCGTCATCAGAGCCATGAAGCGATTCTCCAGGTTCCTCTTCTTCCCACTCGTCGTCAGAGTCGACCTCATAATCGAACGTATCCTAAAAACAAAATTATAAAATCTCACAACCATTGACAAAACCATATCCTCGAGTTCATTAATCAATATAATATGAGCGCGATAAAAGCCTATTGTGCGAATGAAAAAGAAATAAATTTTGACGCCTGCTGTAACGTATGTAAAGGCGAGCAAGATTGTTTACACGTAATACGATAGGCAGGACATCGGTATCAGAGAGCTACTTCCTTGACGAGTCTTATCGTCGAACCGGCAGCAAATGATGCTGATGCCGCCACGGCCGCGTGAGCGGCCTTTCATTGTGTAGAGGCACACTACACGAGGCACCACATGTGTGATACATACATAGACCCGCTTGCGACTCTTTAATCTGTGGTCGATGACTTTTTTCTCTTTTTTAGTTTAGTCGAAAGTCGAAACATAAGCGAGCCGAACGCTTTCTTCAATTCGCCAAGATCGATGCCAACGCGTGTGTTAAAGAGTGTTTGATACAGCACGAGTGCTTATTTTTTGCATTTGGAACGGTGTCTCGCCCATATCCATCCGATTGGTAAGTCATCCACATAATATGTAATGTCATAGAGTAAAGAATTATTAGCTTGAATAAATCTGATTTGAGAATATCTGTTCTCATACAGCGTGGAACTGTCAACTTGAAGAAAAGCAAGAATCGACCACATAAATATTAACTGGGAAATTAATATACGACCTTGAACGTCGTGCGAGTTTGTGATATTTGTCACATAAATCAGTGCCGATATCATCCCTCGTGCTCGGAAACATCTGATACAGTCGCTGCAGCCCAGAGGCGCGCGAGCTATACACATATTTATTTATCATATGGACACAACTCGCCCAGGCAATCTGACAAAGCCCAGCCGTACACGATTCGCAGAGTGAGGATCGCTGCTGCTGTCGGCATGAGGAAAAGGAGGATGGAAAAATAGATTAACTGAAAAACTTCGTGACAATCGCTGCCAAGAGGAATAATGGGGGTACGTGTACTACGAGCCATGCTTGATTTATCCAGCTTTATTGTATTATTCACGGATTTCAATTGCTGCTCGAGTCGATGATAGTGATGGCGACCTTGACGATATACCAAAGATATGGGAAAAATTTCTGACTCGATCTTTCGGTCGGACTTATCGAGAACGAGATAAGTATAGTTGGATTAGCGGCTCATTTGTAAAATTCGGTTGCAAACAGCATCGCGTGTGTTGACGTAGTATTTTTATAGCCGCGACCGGCCAACAAATTAGGTAAACGTTTCGGGGATTCGCGCGTACACGATCATCGGGTATATCGCGAATAATAACGTAATGATTAATCGGGAATCACACGAAAAAAGAAAGGCAAGAAACTATAATATATAGCGCGCGCATCGATTTGACATTGTACAGAAATATTCGCGCAGATTAAAATACAAACGAAAAAAGGAAATATACCGAAACGAGAGCGTTGATTATTCCCTTATCAGCCGGAGTACATGGCTAAGTGAAAAAGCGTTTGGCGTTATGTTATATATTATATCTATATCGTAGATGTTGTTATTATACGTAGAGCGACCGCGACTCTGTGACGCGAGCGATCGAGCCCGATGAAAAAGTGCCAGATCCCCCGTGAAAAAAAATAATAATAATAATGCAACACACAAGTGTACGAGCGAGTCTGCGCGAGCCAAGGGTGACATACGAGCTCGTATGTAGGCGATATCGCGCCGGAGCACAGAGCGAAATGACCAGTACCGTATAGGTATTATTATACATAGTGACGCGCTAGACAAAGATCTGGGTATTTACGTGAATTATTCACTTTTGACTCAACTGGGCTCGTACAGACTTCATCGGTATACGCTTGGTAAAATGCGCGAATGTAGCACAAACATCGATTCTACGTCGATTCGTTAAAACGTACAATAACAACGACATTTCATGTAATAAGTTTATTATCTGCAGAAAAAAATGCTGCAAACGAATTCATAATAAACGGGATCGTCGAAACTTTGCAGCGCGCAAGCGTCGAGCTATCGGAATGCTCTCTTTTTTGCTTTATTCGTTTTCGTTGCTTTTTCATTATCAAATCCGTGCTGCGTGCGCAAACGAAGTGCCATTGGCGCCAAAAAAAAATCGCACAACTTTGCACGAATATCAATAGAAGAACAGACACGCACGCAGCTTTCAATTCTCGGAGGATTAGAGGCGAGAAAACCCATATACTCTGACCAGTCCGCGATAGCGCATTTATTATTGTTGTTCGACTAGCGCCACGCGTTCGTATCTTTTGTCTTTTAGGTTCGTCGTTTTATGCATCGATTCTTCGTGTTTACATTTTCCAAAAAGTAACGAAACGACTTGGGCCTTTGCCGTATAACTATGAAAATAATCGTGATACGTCCGAATCGCTGAATAGACCCCAAAAAAAAGCTCATCGCGTAAAAGCTCTCCCAAAGTCTGGAAATCATATGATCTAGTGCTGTATCGTCATTTTTCGCACGCACAACGACGCGTCAATGTTTTATCAGCGAGCAGTAAATTTTCCTCGCAAGAGAGCCCAGAGTTCATAAATATATATACATCTGCGTGTCTTGGTTCGGTCAGATGATGCTCTCTCTCTCTCTAGCACTGCTCGCACTGGTCCCCAGGGGATGGTGTCTGCGCGTGCATGTGTGTGAAACGTATGGCAGGCTCAAAACCCAATATAATATCGTTTTCATTATTCTACCACTGTTCTCGACCGATCTCTCGACCGACTCATACTCGATTTTAATTACCATGCATGGCTTTACTAGTTAGTACCATTCGGAATGTCACAGAGTTAGTATCGGTTCGCTCGCGATCGCGGAGAAAATTAACATCGTTAGGCCCTTTGTGCGGGCGATTGGAAAACTGCGAGGCGCGATAGATATAGAATTAAAACACTGAAGTACATTAGAAATGATCGACGACAGTCCGATTTTCGATGTGAGTACAGATTTATCGTATTTTTTGGTATTGCGTGAATTCGTTCTTCGTTGATTTCTGCAAGGGGATATACTATCGATCAAAACTCGCGCGCTTACATTAAATAGAGATATGCTAAGATTCCTTTCAAATTAAGCCTAGGTATCGTTAAACTCTGTAACGTGCGAGCGTCCAATATATGCAGACTCGAGCAACTTCTTTATAATTAAAGTGTTAAATAAAATCGAATATTAATTAAAATCAAATAATTAACATTCAAGTGATTGAACGAAAATTCTCTCATTCTTTTTTGTGAAAAAAGTTAGAATTAAGCTAAATTAATTTCATAAAGCGAGATCTTGGAAAAAATATTTTTCGTAAAAGTTACGTAATAATGCTCTCGAAAGCGCATAATCGCCACTATTATCATCTCCGGCGGTCGTGCGACTAATAAGCAGCGATGAAATTCGTCCGTACGACACACGTTGAGACTCGCGATTTTAACAATATACTGATAAACGATTCTTGACTTAGATGGCCGAGGAATTTCTGTTTTCTGCGCTCGGGATCGAGCCAAGCCCGTCGTTTTCCGAGCGACACGACTTGTCGCCCGTCAACTCGTCGAGCTTCTTCTCCGACTACGAATCGACTCCCTGCACGACGCCCTCGAGCGAAAATTCCGAATTTCTCGAGCACTTGAGGGACAGCCTGAGCATCGATGCGGCACAGTCGCGAGACTTTTACACCGACTCCGTGTGTTCGCCCGAGGTGACCTGGAACGATTTGACGGCGAATAATTCGCCGATCGCTGGTAAGATTGGTATTTGTTTTCTTATTTAGATTTTGAAAACGACTCGAATTTGAACAAATCTTTTTTTTTTTTGCTAGATCTCGACGATTTGGTTTCTGACTTGGAATGGTGCATGGACAAAGAGTGGAACGCGGGACTACCCATGAGGACTCCCCTCTGCACAGCGGGTTGCGAGGACTTTTTACATTTGCCCGCGTTGGAGAGCTCGCAACAACTGACACAACAGCAGCAGACGCCCCAGGCGTATTTCGTGCAAGAGGAGCCGCTGCTAATTTTAGACGTCGATCTTTGCAGATCCTTCGACGACAATCCACTTAGTAATAATAATATTTTAGACTTTAACAATAATCGATCGAAGGACGAGACATCGATGGGATCGAGCGACACGGCATTGGCCACTCACAACTACGCGGACCGCGGCCCGGTTGTCGCGCAGACGATCGTCGGTGGTGACGAGCGCTGCTTTCCCTGCTCCTATCAAGGCTGTGCCAAGGTAAAGAATCAATTTTAAGTAACCACGATTCGATCGTACGACCAATTATCGAGTATTTTCCAATAGGTTTACGCAAAAGCGTCGCATCTGAAAGCTCATCTGCGGCGCCACACCGGGGAAAAGCCGTTCGCCTGCACCTGGTCCGGCTGCGGCTGGCGCTTCAGCCGGTCCGACGAGTTGGCGCGGCATCGACGCTCGCACTCCGGCATCAAGCCCTACCCGTGCGAGCTGTGCAGCAAGCGTTTCGCGCGCAGCGATCACCTGGCCAAGCATCGCAAGGTGCATCGGAAAAATTCGCTCAACTTGTTGTTCTCGCGCGCCAGAGGACGCGACGCCGACAAGGAAGAGCTGGATTTTATCGAAGGCCGCGCGTCCAATTGTCGATACGACAAAGCTTAGTCGTGTACACTTTAGTTTTAATAACAATAAGTTTTCGCCGATCTGATAAATGTAACTTATGATAAGATATCTTGTAAAATTATACACTTTCAATGTTATTTAGATAAGTTCGATGGATAATCTTGCTGTTTTATTCGGTCACCGATCAATAGATGTATTCTTTACCTTTTTTAATTTTTAAAATTATATTTAATAATTACGAGTTTAAATTAAACTTTTGTTGTCATTGGACATTTAATGATTGTATAGCTTCAATGAAATTGCAATAAGATGTAATTTTTAGTTACTTTAAATTTGAGTTTTTTACTACCAATCTTTAATGTCTATGTTAAACTTATATTAATAAAAAACGATTACAAAAATATAAAAAGTACTCACGCTATCTTTTGCAAAAGGTCTTCGTGGTTTGACGAATTTGCTCTGTTTCCTCCATGTACCCCAATAAGGTGGTCGTTGGTTTTCTTGAAACAAAAATAGCTTTGCCCGATGCCGCTCGATTTTAGTTGCTCGCACAACAGTCTTGCTTTCTTCATCTTCCTCTGTACGACGCACATTTAATTTTATAGGACATAGTTAATTTTGACCTTAATTAATTGCTTTATATAAAAAGGTTGAGCTTTTTATTACCTATGACAACAACATCATCGTTTGCTTCAGATGGCCAAGTTCTTCCAAACTTTCTGGGTTTGAAATCCTTTTCACTTATGTCATCCAAGTATGATTTTGATTTACCTTTATATTCGTTTTTAATGCACTCATCGAGTTTTAACTTTTGTTTCTCCTCGAGACTTCGTCTAACACATGGTGCTATACGCATATCAGCTTTAACTTCAAAGGGCATAAAATATTTATTTTCGACTTTTTTTTCTTCTTGAACAGGTTTAGTTTCTGCAGTTTTTTTGAAAAAACTGACGAAATTTGAAGCCAATTTTTGTTTTTTTCGTTCTGCTTCCAGTTTTTCTTCTTCCTTTCGCTTTCTCTCTTCTTCTTTTGCTTCTTCTTTTTTTCGACGCTCTTCTTCTTTCCGACGTTTTTCATCCTCTTTGGCTTCTTTTTCTTTTTGTTTTTGCCTAGTAAGTAGAGTAATGGAAAAAGATTAATAAAATCATGGATTGTCTAATCATTTTACATACAAAAACATATTTCATACTCAAGTTCTGCCTGTTTTTTTATCTCTTTCATTTCTTTTTCTTTTTTCTTTTGTTCCTTTAAAGCTTTTTCTTTTTCTTCTCGCTCTTTTTTTTGTTGCTCTTTTTCCTTTTTTTTCATTTCTTTTTCTTCCAGTAGCTTTTTTTCTTTTTCCTTAAAATAAAAAAAGCATGTTAAATATAATTTGAAAATTTAGTAAATCAATGCAAAACTTACAAGTTTTTGTCGTTCTCTTGCAGAACGTTTTTTTTCCATTTCTTTTTTTTTAGCTATTTGTTTGGGAGTTAATTTTTCTATATTTAATATAGGTTGCATTGATCTACTAGAAGGCGTTAAGCATTGCTTTTTTTCTACATCATTATCAGTATCTTCATGTTCTGTTCTTTTATGATCTGTATCCGATGAGCCGTAATCATCAATATCTTTACTATTACCATCATCATCTGAGCTGAGTAATAGTTCACCATCATTTGAACCTGAAGAGTTCTTCTTGTTAATTGATTTTGGTGAATCAACTTTAGTATCTTTTACATTATCATTGTCATCTGATATATCCATTACTTCAATTTCTTCAATCTTAGATTTATTGCTATTGTTTGAAACAGGCTCTTTTTTTGGATCATCTTTTGAATTATTTTGAGATGACTCCTTGGAGTTATTGACAGATTTGCATGTATTAGATTCTTTCTCTCCATCAGAATTAGACTTTTTCTGAAAAAATTTGGTTATGGCATTTGCTTGAATTGGAGTTGCTACTTTTTTTGATTTAACTGCTCCTTGTCCAGGAGTTTTTTTAGCTCGAGCATCTACTGTTTTAGGTGTTTTAGGTGTTTTAGGTGTTTTAGGAGTTTGAGGTGTTCTACCCTTATTTTTTTGCTTAGAATTTTTATCACTATCAACTTCATCGCTTTCACTAAGTACTACGATGTCGTCATAATCAATTTTCTTTCTTGCTGAATTGGCAGTTTTATCAACTTTAGCTTGTTTTGCTACTCTTGGCACAGGAGAATCACGTAATTTTCTCTTTTTATTCTTCTTTTCTGCTGAAACATTTATATTCATATAACTTCATGCTATTTAAACTTCTACAGATCAAACTTGAGCATAAAAAATTCATTAAAATTATACCTTCTATATTTTTAGTGGCATTTAAATGTAAGTCCACTTTGACTTTACACTCACTTTGCTCTGAGCTATCCATAATTGCCTATACCTGCTAAATAAAAATATTATCATGAATGATATTCATTTAGCTTTTTAAATATCATGAATAATATTTTGATTGAAAAATGTAAATATGATTATTTTCTCATAACAAAATAAATCATCTTCGACTTGATATAAAACTGAATTTAATTTCAACAACGAACTGAATTAGATGTTTATTCATGCATTGTTAAATTCATGAACAAATATACGAAAAATACCAAGTTTGCAAACCTTATCTTCCTCAGTGGAGATTAGGACTTGACAAAGAAAGTAACAAAATCACTTTGGAGTACGAGTCTTGTGATGATGCAAAGATCCCATGTCCTGATGACGTTCACCGGTTAAAGTTCTTCTGTGAGCTCTTTATATCGCTAAATGAGTTTTCTACGATTATCTTTTAATTATCAACACTCTTTAGAACTAATAACACTAACAAAATTATCTTGCACGACTGCACCTCACTGTCCAGCCTGTGTGTCGAACGAAATCCGCGGGAAAACTGCAGATGGTAGGGGAAATTTCGCTTGACTGACAATAATATAGGCTATAACTATAACGTGTTGGCAGTGCGAATTTTTAAGGTGAATCTACAAACAGGCGTTGGATAATGGATATGTAAGGAAATGCTTGGAACTTCAGCAAAACAATCATTGACTTCAGGAACAGCTAGCGCCGAATTTCAAATTAAAATAACCAAAAAAATTATGAAGCAAATCAAACTTTATTTATAATATTCAATTACTTGATAAAAATATACATCAATTTATACAATTTAATATTTGCACAATATAGTAAACACTTGACATTCTGTAAAATAAAATATTTATTTTTCTGGTAAAAAACTCAGCAAATTTTTTTGCTGAAACAAGCATCGATTCAAATATTTTAGTAAAGTTATAGAAAATATAAGACTTATCTAATTACATTTGATTTAAATTTTATAATATAATTAAAGAGCACAGGCTTGAGCAAAGAGTCTTTTTATCACAACATATTTTGTTCGTCAAATTATTTATAGATAAGGCATTTATGGAGAAACTTTAAAATTATATACTGGATATCTTGGAGCAAAACGACTTTCACCTCCAATAAGATGTTCAGATTCATTTCCATCTCTGAGGGGTCTTGTGCCAGAAACTGATTCCTCATAAGAGGGAGGAGCTGGAAAAATTTTAATTGTAGCAAATCATCATAAAATAATTCTATACATATTTAGATTGTTTTCTAAATTCATTCTTACCTAAATCAGGATAAAGACCTTGTTGAGGGGATAATTCTACTGGAGGTGCTGATGGAGCGTTATCTGCGTCACCTGCATCATAATCTATTTTTTTAATTGGAGCCTGTGGCATTTGATAACTAGATAAAGGTACGGTTCCAATGTAAATAGGAGTGCTGTCTCTCAAATTTCTGTGATAACTATAAAGAGTAAAAAATATTAAAGCATATTCAAATGTTTTTTTGTTTAAAATCAGAGTAAGTAAGGGTTTTGAAACATACAATCCTGCCATGCATGCTTCTATTTTCAATTTATATTCCAAATCAATTATTCCACAATTCTGAAGATTTGATGGAGGTGTAGGAGGAACATCAATCATCTGTTCATAGCTTACTATTGTGTGTGCATTACCTCCTATGGGGCCTTTACTAACCTCTGCTACTACGGTTTCAACAATTTTTTTATCAGAGCGTGGAGTAGTTGCTGAATATGTAACAACCTATAATTATATTAATTTTTTTAATAACATAACATTACAAAAATACTCTATCACTTATTGCTTTTCTTCAATTACCTTTTCCAGCTTGAGCTTGATTGTATCAACTTGTATTCCAGATTGATTTTCAACATTTACTTTTACTGGTATAGATTGTCCAGGTACATATCCTCTGACAGGAAGTGTAATATCTACAGTAAGAGGTGGTGAAACACAACAAAAGCAACCAAAGGTTTTGCTTTTTTCTAAATGAACTGATTCCTGAAAAATATTTAAACAAGAATTTAAAAAATTGACCATTCATTGAAGACCATTTAAAAAACTTACAGAAGCTTTTGCATCTTTATTTAAATCAAAATGAGAAACAACAGTAAAAGCAACTTTAGTTTCTTGATCAAATTTCCATGGGCGATCTAGGACTGCCTTTGTTGTATATCTTATACGTCCAAAATCAGATTCAAAGCTGCTTGGCAACGAAGGTGGAAGCACAAAGTTAAATGGATAAGTATGTGTGCCTGATGGCAATTCAATTTGTTCACCTAAAATTAACACAATATTCAATATTAGTAACAGATTATTTAAAAAATTAATTGAATTTTCAATTACTTCATTTTGTAAATCACAAAAGAGGTGTATCAATAAAAATATTTACCAGATGATGAGCCAAGAATATAAAATTGTGCTTTGAAATATTCTTCATGAGCAGTTACAACGTCCGTTTCATTAATGTAACGACCCTCATTGTTTAATTCTTGTCTGTCGGTTGACCAATATGTGTCGGCTTCACCTTTCACACTAATTTTTATTCCTAAAAATAAAAAAATAAAAAAGTTGAACAATTATCTATGGTCAATGATTATTTTAATTACAGTGTTATTTTGGATAGCAGCAATAATGCTTAATGCTATCAATTCAATCATCAGTTCATTGATCAATGATTACCCTAACATTTTTTATTGCTTTTTTTTTTTTAATTACAATTTAGATACAATTTAATCATTGTTTATTCAAGAACAAAGTGAATCGAATGATCATATAATTAAGATTCTCGATTAGTATTATTAAAACTTTTAACTAATTTTTAGTTATAGAAAATAATTGTTTTCAAAAATATCGGTGCTAAGGCAGCCCCTAATAATACCTGCCAGAACTAACGTAAACACTAAAAATAGAGCAACGTATAAAACATTCAAAGCGCATACATTGCATTTTTCATCTCACGGTACACATGCGAGCATATACTTGTAAGAAAATCACGCCCAAAATGCAGCGCATGACACACATGCCTCGCTGAAAGTATGCGTATATGAGCGCATACAGTGTACAGTATGAATGTACGCGACTCACCTTTGATTTTCTTGGGTGCATCGAGCGTAAGGATAACTTTGCCGGTGACGGTCTGATCAGGATGATAAGTCGCGTAAGGACTATCGAAGTGTATTTTGAAGTCCTTCAGGCCCATTTTGAATGTGCGTATAATATAACTTGGTATCGATTGAGCCGGAACGTGTGATAGGGTGCAGGCAACAGCTGAGCTATATGCTGACTGTTTGATGTCGCTGCAACAACGGACGTCTCGAAGTTCGCTCTTACTTCTTTCTCTGTCTCTCTTTTTGGAGTTGTGTGATTTTCGTGTATGTACGACGCGTAGCTCGCTGCGGGACGCCCAGCGTACGACTGTCTTACACATACGCAATATTTTGCGTCTGGCAGTCGCCGCTCGCTCGATGGGGAATGCGGGCACCAGACGATACTATACATGTATCGGCCGATCCGCCCGAGCGATGCTGCGCTCACTCACATCATTGTACAGCTTGAAACCGATATAGGCACTCCACACTCATTTTACACGATTGCGCACATAGTATACGTACGGATCGTTATTTTGTTATTGCGCTTATATCGTTAAGCAGGAAAACATGTCAGATTCTTCGCTTTTATTTTTTTTATATTACTGTCAAAAAATCTCTCTCATAGGTTCAATTACTTTTATGGATTTAACATTTTTCTGCGTGCGAAAAAATAACAGTGTTGTATAAATTTATTTTTCAACGATTTACGATCGGTAAAAATCGCAAACTTGCAGTTTTCTTTCTCGCTAATACGAGCCGATGCGCTAAAAATTGGAGAGCAGCCGAACGAGAGTCATAATAATACGTGCTTAAATGATGATACATTAATTCTTGACTTTTGAAAGAAAACTCGATCGCAGAAAAGCGAAAGAACCAGAAAACGATTTGATTACGCGGAAAAACTGCAACGCCGCTGACCCTGAACACGTATTATTTTTCACAATGAGATGTAATGGGTTATAATTACAACTTGTAGGCGATAAAATGTGCAGAGAACTATGATGTAACAGTTGGCTTGGGCGGTCGAGGCAACAAATACGATTTATGTCTTGTGATGATTTTTCAATTTTCGCTCACGGCAAATGAAATTCGATTCAAGGTATGGTAATGATTCACTTGGCAAACGGTGGATGAATTTCAATATTTTATTACATTATTTCTTAAATTTTAAATTTATTCGCTACTTCAAATGCTTAATAGGTGCATGCACGTGATATTATATTAATACGTAAGGTCATTCATCCAATTCAACGTATCGCTTCTTGAAAATTTTACCATCATAAAATTAGCGATAGTCGAACATTTTTTTTAACTTCGCAATTACGTCTCTATATCGATATAATTTTGACGAAAAAAATCACATTCGCTCGCAATCACACTCAATTGCGTTAACTACATTATTACATATTCCTATGAATTATACTCGTCTTTGTCGTCGGTATATAATATAACATTTTGTATTAAATACTTGCTCGCGAGCTCGCGAGCCAGCCTACACATTTGTGATATAGACATCATACAATTGGCTATAAATATATAAAATATATAAGTTATACAAAAAAAGTTCAGTCTCGTCGCGATATATTTACAATGATTTTTTTTTTTTTTAATGTAATGTTTTGTTCTCGTCGTGAATTTAAATGGCGTTACAGTCTGGGAAGCGTATCCTGCAGTTCTCGCCACGTTGGCCCAAGAGGCCGGCTTCGTGTAGGATGTCGAAGTCAATTCCCGTTCGCTTTTCCACCAAGTAACTCGTCACGTATCTGCGAAAAGAAAAAAAAATATTTTGAGATGTTATTGTTTGGAGATGTGAAAATATGTTTTGCCATGGCTCAACGTCAACTCTGGGACTGTTCAAACAAAAATTACACGATTTCTAATTAATAAAATAAATATCTCAAAATCGACTCCATGTATTTTCTATTTTATAAAAGGGACAATTTCGAAAAATCATATCGTTCGTTCATTTGTTTTCGTTGAAATCGTTGTACTAAACTCGTAAAATTTTTTTGGAAAAAGCTCGGCGGAAACAGTATAAAAAGTAAACACTTACGATCCAATCTGGCAGAAAGACAGGGTCTGTCCGGTTTGGGCGATCTCCTCGGTACACTCGACGTTGGCCTCGCAGATGGCTCGCTCGGCGCAGCCGTCGAGTCCCTCTTTGTTGTCCTTGGCGAGACGCATGCCGTAGCCCTTGAGAGACTTGACGTAGCCCTGGAACATGGTGATGGCGGCGAAGGCGCCCTCCGACACGGCGGAAGCCTGACCCCGAGCCCGGGCTCCGAGCGATCGATGAGAGAACGACGTTTTCAAGGCGTCGAGCAGATTCATCACGATGTTGATGAACTGTTGACAATGCGAAGGAAGAAAAGTTTTTTTCGAGTGTTTTCGAAATTGCTTCGTGACTCGCACGAAAAGGGAAGAGAAAATCAAAATAAGCGCAGTGATTATCATCGGCTCGTTGTACGACACTTAGAAAGTACGTAGAGCCGCGATGTTTATTTGCTCTTTAGGAATGTGAATTTTCTATTTGTGCAACTTTTTACATTTCAAGAGTACCTTAGCATCATTATGTATTTATAAATTATGTACAAAATTACTAACCTCGCTTGCTTGGCTGGCTATCACGGACACTTGCTCTGGATTTCTTCCCTGTCCCAGAAATGCACCCAACACCAATTGCAATACCTCCTAATGCGTGCAAAATTTTATGCAAACTAATTTAATATATATATTTACATTTAAGGGTGCTGTTGTATTAAACTAGATATAATATGGATCTCAAGTAACGAAATGATTTCAAAGAAAATTTCTAGCATCATTTTTTCAAAACGGAATTATACTTATACGTGCAATAATATACTTGATCTTAAGATATAAAAAATAATTCCTAAATATATCATAGCGTGCGTATGTATGAATACCGAGACAAAAAATTGTCTCGACATTTTACGTATACGATTCTCATAGTTATTCAAGCTTTCATAAAAGTGTGGTTTTTAATCTAAATTCTCTATAGATCTAACAACTGTGCATTGTGATTTTTTTTTCAAAACTACTACTACTACTGTAAGCAATAATAATAAATTGTTTGATATTCATATCAAAAGATAAAGCGTTAAAATATTACCTGCATCGGGCTTGCGGGCCCATTGTCGATTTTATCGATACCGTCGCCTTGGTCCTGAGGTCCGCCGAGCAGAGTCGTGAGCACACGAAGCCCCACCGACAGGATGTTGGCCCAAGGATTGACCGGGGCCGGGGCCTCGTCGACTTCGTTTTTGCTTGGACCAGCCGGTGCGACACCTCCGGACTGTCCTAGAAACATTTGCATCAGCATGCCCAGCATGCCTCCCCATGAAAAACCATTTCCATTGCCGGTTTCCTGTTTCGAACATTGTTTAGTTTATATCAGTTAAAAAAAAATCCTGACCAAGTCATCGTGATTTTGTTCGAGAAGATAAAACCTCACCTGAACGGCGGTAGAGCTGGGGGTAGCAACATCTTCGACGTTATCGAGATCATCTTCCTCATTGATTTTGTTCGAGGCACCTGACTCGATCTTCCGACCCGATGAATTGATCGGCTGAGGCAAAGCGAATGCCTGGCCCATGACCAAAGCCACCAGGCATAGCGCAAGATACTGTTTATTTTGCATATTTATCTGAATAACAAAAAGCGTCGTTGATGATTTATCTTTATTTTCGATTCGAATAATAAACTGTTAAAAATGTCAGTTATGTTGTTTACGTTCGATAGCGGAGTACAGTACGATTCGAGAGAAAAAAGAGACGCCAACGACTACGAATTGGATAAATAAGAGTGGATACCATAAAGGATACGAGAGGCAGCTGTTGTAACTGTTGTCCAGCGATAGATCGACTGGCAAATAAAAAAACGTAGTCGCGTACTCGCTGTCGATGGAAAACCTCGACCATGAAAGTACGCGTACACAAAGGTGACTTTGAAGGCGGCGACGACGCGACGACGTCTATCCAACGCAGCAGCGGCAACACGAGGGAGAAAGAAAGAGAGAAGAGAGTAAAGCTGCAGAGCTTGGTGGGGAACTCGTTAACCCACTTTTGCGAGCCGGCTGAGCGAGTTTTTTGACCCGTTCGTCGTCCAAGTGCCGATATGTTTACTGCTGGTGCGGAACTATCAAAAGGCACCGTTACTTATTCGCCAAAAAGACGATCGTACTGTGTGCGACCTACTGCCGGGGCGCCGCTACACCATCGATGTGTATGTGCTGCGAGCGATCAACGCCGATCGTGCAACGTACGCGTGAAAAATCTGCGCCGCGTATATACACAAATCGAGCACGTAACTAACTGTAACTTACGGTAGATCGATGATTGTCGAATCGCGGGTGAAATCAAAAAACGACGTTGACCATTCGTACCGAGACAAAATGAGAAAGTGGCGGCGAGAAAAGGACATTACTTTTTCGAGCAGTAGTTAAAATATATGCGTTATTCACGAGAAATTTGACTTTCATTCAAGAAGCGGTGTAGTTGTCGTGATATTACTTTTTTATTGTATTAAGTCGGGATTATTTAGTGACAGATATTGGGTAAATAATTTTTTAATAAAGTTATTTTTAACCAATGAAACTTGAAAATCATCAATGAAAATATTCATAAATAAGGGAAAAAATATTTTGGACTAAAATCAATGATCGATGTGTATGCAATTTAAAATATTTGAAACTCAAATGAATGATAACGCCCTGAGAAAAAATGCCACACATTGCAAACTATTTTTATATGCTACCAATTGCAAATTCATACGTTTGAAATCATCGATCGATAAATCAACCTTGATTTCTAATATAATCTGCATCTTTTCGGTATTGCGATTAACTTTTTTACTTTTGGCCAAATTATTGATAATAATTTGACCACACAGTTTTTCTCAGCGCATTCACTTATAAATTTAACAACCGAAAATTATTATCAAAAATATTTCGAACCGTAAAAAGATCACTTAATTTCACTCACTTTGTTAATTTATCCCTTTTACAAGCACAAATCACGTCGTGTATACGTTCAGCAACGGAGCCTCTTCCTTTCTAAAAGACAAAACTGGCGGGCTTGGCTTCTTATACGGTGAGTGCCTTGCCGTAAGCTGACTCGCCGATTGGAGGCCCGTTAGAGGATAGATCGAAAAGTGGGGACGTAAATCGCTTGTGTTTTTTTTTCGTACAACATGAATTATATTTTGATTAAAAAAAATCTCAGGCATTGCTCACGCATAGGCTTGTCATAAATATCCTCTGAATTAGTATTACATGCAAGTGAAATTCCTAATGCTCAAACTCTATGACGCAGAATAGACGTAAGCGATTAGAACAGGATTACTAGCTTTGATTCTTTACGAAATTTCAGACTCTTGAAGCCTGGGACAATTCATATAGACGTTTCCGAATATTATACCTGATCTTCGTTTTCACTTTGCGACACAAAAGTATAGCTTACTTTTCTCTCGATATCACCCGTGTTTATTATAAGCAAATGTCAATCGTATAGCTGCTTCGAATACTCTCACAAACGATGACGCTCGCGACGGGGCCGTATCTGCGTCACGTTATTCATGACTTTTTATTCGATACCTTTTTTATTCGTATGTACCTACCTACGCTCATTCAAGAGCTTTCTAACACTTAATTTTTCTGCGATCAACGGTGAAAAATTAAAGTGTACAAAATGTCAACACGAGGAAAGTTTGACCAGCATCGGAATGCTGGCCGGTAAGATTTTACTCTTACGTGAAGGTCGCTGTAACAGTAAACGACATTTTTTTTCAACGTATCGTGCATCAAAGACGTGTGTAAAATCTCAAATTCGCGTGCAAGTAATCGGCACTGATATTTTATGCGTGTAGTAAGTGTATTTATTTTTAAACGCGTCAAACGATGGAAATGTTTTGGAATGTTATAAATTTTGCTCTTCATCCGATGTTTAAACTAGCTAACATTTTTATTTTATTTCATTGTTCAATTGAATTTTATTTTGATGTATTTTTAAATAAAAAAAATGGATTCAAGGAATTCTCGTCAAAATCATTTTAGTGACGAATTATTTACTACCCGTAAAAATAGTAATCGCAAGCTTTTTCCGGCCATGCAATAGTTTTTATTTCGTAGCAGTACAAATTTCTTCCGAGCATTTTTTCATTTCAAATTCAATACAATTTCATAATCACTTCTCACGAATCTCAAGTACCGGTCCAGTCTCGTTCACAATACTTCTTGACCTACTTTAATTTTAACATCAAATATATCACGATGGGTACGATGAATATACCGTTTCACAAAGAAATCATTTATAATTCAAATTTTTTCAAAATCAGTGCGGTTATTATTTTTGCGCATTTTTGGTAATAATCAACACTCATTTATTTTTAAATTAGGAAATGAAACGTTGATATTAACATTGTATTTTATACATACCTGTATGTTATGAGATTACAATTAAAAATATTAGATTATTCAATGAAAGTTACAAACCAAATTTATTACTCAATTACTTTTGCATGCAGTTGATTATGATGTATCTATTTGCATATTTTTTTTTGAAAGATCGATTCAGAATGATAAGTAATAAAAAGTTAAAAATTAAAATGATAATAATAATGATCAAATAAACTAGAGGTAGATGACAACAATTTTCCGCAGGAACGAAGGTCAAATTTTCATCCTCAGCTAGGGTTTATTTATTTCAATGACAGCTATGAACAAAAAGAATGGAAGGCCTTGAAATCATGTGCCATTAAAATGAACAAAAGCATACACTTGAAAGATATCTGAAAGATTCAAAAGTCAATTCAAAGTAGACGAGTGTTGTTTGACTACTGTTGTGCAGAGAAGTCGGGTTGAAAGCTGAGTGCAGTCAGCAGTGAAGGAGCAGACGCGCGCAGCGCACGCGATACACTCGCAGCGCCTCTCAGCAGCGGCCAGTCAAGCTGGCTAAGCTCCGATATTTGCTGCCGACGCGAACTCAGCAGGCAGCGCGATTGCCAAGTGCGAGCGAACGCAAAGCAGTATAAGTTCGAGTCGGACACAAAAACACGCGACGCACGGCCAGTGTTTACACGGAGCTTGCTACGGCAGCAAGGCCGTCAGATCGCGATCCCGTTTGAGGTTAAACGCGCTTTGGCCTCTGTCGCAGTTCCCAACTACTGCTCCCCTTTAAATTATCATAACGCGTGTGCAGTCTCTCTCTGTGCGCGATCTTGCATGGCTCGAGTTAATACGGAGAATAGGCGTCGTGAGAATAATCGGAGAAAACGTCGATAGTTCGAGTGTGCTCGTGGTGACAGGTACGCAGCAACGACGACGACGACGACGACGACGGCTACGTCAACAAGAGCGAAATGTTGTCGAAACAGCCTGGGCAACGACAGCTGCAGCAACAGACGCGACTGATCGAAAACGTCAATTATAACGTCGGTGCGAACGCGATAACGACGTTGGCCTCGTCGAAGCTGTCGGCAACGACGTGACCAGTCGAGCCGTCAGCGCGGCCTGTGTCGACTCGGCTCGTCGATGCACCAACTGCAGCAGCTCGGCAAACATGTCGAAATGCATGAGCCAACAGCATCTGCAGCATCATCATCAACAGCAGCAGCAGCAACAGCAACATCATCCACAACATCCACAACAACAGCAGCAGCAGCAGCAGAAGGTGCAGCAGTCGACTAACTGCGGCCTTCCTTACGCTGCTGCTAGTCCCGTAAAGAGCCGCGTGACGGACAGCGACAACAACGAAGACGACGACGACAACGACGTCTACTCGATCTCGTACCTCGGCAACAACAATCGCACGGGCTCCTCCTCGTGCGATCGCCACAATCTCCTGCAGCAACGCGACAACAACAGCAGCATCGAGTCCGACAACTTCGGCGACGGTGACATGTATCAGGCCCTGCTGAGGTACGAGAATCAGACCCGCGACTCGTGCGACTGCAGCCGCGGCGAGCTGAGCAACAAGCAGCAGCCGCTCTCGACGGGCGCCGCCGCTGCAGCCTCGATCAGCTGCAGCAACGAGGCCTTCGTCGTCGGCGGCGAGGACCGCTGTCGTCTGCAGGAAGAGGAGGAGATCATCGAGTCGACGAGCGCCTCGACTCCGCTGCTGCTGTCGGCAGGGCCGCGGATCGAGCTGCTTCATCACGAGTCGACGCCCAGCTCCTCGAACGGCAGCATCAGCGGTGGCAGTAGCAGCAGCAGCCACAGCAACAGTAACAGCAACAGCAGCAGTCGCTGCGTCAACAGTACCGTGCCTCTGTGCCTGCTGAGCGACGTGCAGCTGCGCTTCCTCTGCCCCGACGATCTCGAGGAGGTCCAGGCTCTCTGTCAAGACTGGTTTCCTATAGGTGAGAGAGAGAGAGAGAGATAGAGACGTATATCCGATCGCATGCATAGCCATTTAAACGTGCATACAAGAGACACGCACGAGTATAGGACGGAGGGACGATCGGATCTAATAGCAGTGAATTGAACTTAATTCGCATTTATTATGATTCTCTCTTTCTTTCTTTCTCTCTCTTTCTGTATCGCTATATTAAGCCCTCGGCAAGTCGAGCCGAGTCAAATAAACGAAAGACCATTAGGCGAGCCTTCGTTTGTATATAGGCTGTCTACATATTGCTCGTCGACAACTCGCGTGTAACACTCTATAATACGAATCAAAGAGAGAGAAAGAAAGAGAGAGAGAGAGATCTTGTATTGTGTTAAAGCACGAGGGTATCGTGGAGCGTAAAGCAGCTTCTAACTTGCGCTTGGCCAGCTTATTTTAGATCTAAAACTCATGATGTGTTGCACGTCGAGGCGCGGCTATAAGCTCCTGCGATTCAAAGCCTTATAGCGTCGATGATTAAAAATTCAGAGCATTAATTGTCTTTAGACTCTATATATAATTCATTATATATACACGTCGTGTGTAACTGTGCCGTATATCGTTTGTACTTGCAATGTCCATAAGCTGCGTGCGTTTGTTGTTGTTGTCATTATCGTCGTTTTTTTTCTTCTTCCAAAGCGCACACAGCGAACTTGGCGCATGCAAAGCGACTACAAGAGGCATCGTTGAGTTTTTAAGAGGCTTTTTAAATCGATACATACATGTATACGTCGTATACGTACAGAGCTTTACGGCGCGGCGCGAGTTCGTTGCCATGACTCTCTTTTTTTTTGTCGCGCGCGCACATGAAGCTCTTATATATTAGACGAGCTTGCATTTATAAACAACTAGACAGCTGACTGGCTAAACAGCGCTCTCCGCGCGTTCTTTTTCGTACCTACACAGGTATTTCGCGGCACGGCTCATGCTCACCTGTGACGTGCTCGTGGATTTAGCACTGTTTCGATGATCCGTACGATCGACACGAGTAAACGCTTCAAGAGTCGAGCTTTAACGACCGATACATACCCTTGGTCCGTGTTTTTCAAGTAGCTTAACCGCTGGCATTATTTTCAGTCATATCGTTTTGGTACTATATATATTCGGATAATAATTACGAACGGAACCATGTGTCGCGCGCGCATACACGTGTTGTGCCAAATTTCCTCGCCGTTGACACAAGAACACGAATTTTATATTATTGTTTCGCAATTTTTTACGACCAAGTCCGAGCCTAAAACGCTTCCATGCTTTTGTCAAAAACGTCTAATGTATGTAATTTACTCTGGCTTAATCCAAAAATAGTCGCTCGAAAGCTACGATTTTTCACGCAAGGAACGACAGAACTTGAAAATCGAACATCACGAAAACTTACTCAAATATTTATCTTCGTCGTTTTAATTAATCACCTGCGTCGCGTTATCGGCTTTACGCACGATTTCGCGAATTTAACGAATACTTGTGAACAATGACCGAGTGCAGTTTTTCATGTGTACCCTGCTTAGTCACGCTCAAATTATCCTGCTCTGATGATTTTTTATCTTTCGAAATTTTTCTTTGATGAATACTTTTCAAATGAATATTCGTGATAAGAGAAAAGATGTTAATGAGGCAAACCGAAAAGCTGATGTAGAAATGCTTTTGTTCGACAGATTACCCTTATTGGTGGTACGAGGACATCACGTCGTCGTCTCGATTCTACGCTCTCGCGGCCGTCTACGGCGGTGTCATAATCGGCCTGATAGTCGCCGAGATCAAGCCGTACGCGAAGCTCAACAAGGAGGACCGCTCGGTGCTGTGCTCGAGCTTCGGCATCGACTCGCTGGTCGGCTACATACTGAGCCTCGGGGTGCGCCGGGCCTATCGTCGCAACGGCATCGCGTCGCTGCTGCTGGAACAGCTGAGGGCCCACGTCACCGCGCCGGAGCGATCCTCGGTCAAGGCCGTCTTTCTCCACGTCCTGTCGAGCAACACCCCGGCCATACGCTTCTATCAGCGCTGCCACTTCAGCCTGCACAGCTTTTTGCCCTACTACTACAACATCCGGGGCAAGTCCAAGGACGGCTTCACCTACGTGCTCTACGTGAACGGGGGCCACGCCGCCGGCGGACTCTGGGACTGGATGAGACACATAGCCGGCTCCGTGGCCAATCTCGGCCAGTGCCGAGTTCCCCGCTGGATCTGGCAGCGAATGCTCTGGGCGACCACGCTCTTCTTTTATCACAGATGATACCTCCGGTGTGTCATTTTTAATCTCGAGAGCTAACCAAAGTCTAACCATATACTCGTTTACCAAATGTGGGCACATTCGAAAAAATACGTAAATTTTTTCTCGAACCAAGACTTTCTCAACAAGTTGTGTTAATAATCGTTATGTAAATTTTATTCGTTCATGTGTTTTGTGATCTTTTAACGCTTAGAATTGATATTATTACTCTGTAAAACACGTGACAAAAATATATTTGAATTTTATTGAATTTAACTATTTTTACCTTGATATATAAAATTTTTTATCTATGTACATACTATGCAAAAAAGATTCATGATTAATGAGTCGAAAATGATAATTAAAAATGTATTTAAGTATTTTGATTTATACAATCTGCGATATTTGAAAAACAGCTGTAGTAATGACAAAATATAGTTCTTTTAATTTTAAATAAATCCATAGCATGTTAAAGTAATTAAATAATTAATAAAAACAAATGTTACATAAAGTATTAAAGTATACCTATTCATCATATTGTACACTGAGTAGAAGAAAAATGATATTATTAATGCATAAACTTAAAATTCTTGTTTTTAATAAAACAAATTTACTTCAAGTAAGAAATCGCTTATAAATTTTAAACCATTGATTCAATCCTGAAGATTTTAGAAACAGAATTGAGTACAGCACGTAAAAACTTTTTTCAGCTTCAAGTACAATTTTGTGCACTCAGCACATGTCGACTTGTGTCTACGACCTACGTGAAAGTGACACTTAGGTAAACACAGCAAAGCTGGGGTAGCAGAAGCTTTTGTCACTTTGTTTGAAAACACGAACTTGCGCCGGTGAGAATTATTCAGTTTTACAAAATTGAAACAGTATAAAATACCAATAATGAAAATAATAGAACTTCGTCCAAACAGAGAATTATTGAATGTAAAGTTTGAAACGTATTTATACGATCAAAATGTATTTTTCCAAAGGAAATTTGATAAAAAATTACAAACTGGTATTGGCTTAACCTATTCAATTATTCATATTCTGGTTGATTTAAATCAAAATTCTATTTTCTCTATTCAGAAATCCTAAGATTGGAACCTGATTCATCTCAAGACTCTTTACTGGAAGCAAAATTGTTTGCGTATCACAATCATTTATTTCGAAATCCATACGACTCTACCTGTTGGTTTATAGACAATGATGGACAAGTATGGTGTTTCAACAATGAGGACTCTTCGCTGCAACTCAAATTAGATAAAGCTGCATCAATAAAATTGATAAAATCTGTTTATAATCCATCCATTGGTTTTGGTTCACAAAATGTAATATCAGTTACTAACGGTGGTGGTATACTTGAACTATTTATTGAAGGCAATGGAAGGTTCAATCATTTTCTATTTGAAGACATTGAAGCAGGGGTAATTTTTGATACTAGGTACATCAAAGAAACTGATAATATAATTGTAGCTCTTAATTCAATCCATGAAAATGATACTAAAAAAGTTTCAAAACTTATATTATTAACATATCATCTGGATAATAGTGTCAAAGATGAACCTTTATCCATCAAATTGGTAAAGAAACAAATTTTAAAAGTAAAAGGTTCAATTAATCATGTTTATATCGAAAAAAATGGGCAATACTGCAATATTATCGGTAGTGATCAAATTGAATTTGAATATGATTCTGTCAATCCTATAAAATCTGAGGATAACGATTCTAATACAGATTCTCTCATAAAAATTCCACGATATTATTGGTCTCAAGATGAAGATTCTCTAACAGTATACATGAAAATTCCAGACACCCTAGCTCAATTTTCAGAAAAAGTAAAAACTACATCGCTAGGTGTTGATGTTACAATAGAAGATGTTATTCTTCTAAAAGGTGAAACTCCATACAGATTAGAACCAAACTTAACTACTTTTAAACGTGATAAAGATACTCTGCAAGTTGAACTGATAAAAGCAGAAAATGGTTTGATGTGGAATGAATTAATAAAAGGAGATACTGGAGGAGAATATTTGCCAAACGAGGCATTAGCTGCTGAAGTCCATGCCAAGTAAGTTATTACAAAGATTTTTGTCTGTGTTAAAAATTTATAAAATGAATATAAAACATTGCAGATTAGCTCATTTATGTTCAGATGAAATAGTAACAAGAGAAAAAAATCAACCATCTATCGGTTTCAACACTGAACAACTTGAAGAATGTGATTTGAACTCAGAAGAAAATATTTTACAAAGAATTGATTTAAAATCCAACAGTATATCACATTTAGTAATGTTAGGTATAAATAACCGAGTTTTATTTGCTGAGAATCAATCAACTGGTATGTGCATATGCCTGAGACATGATAATGACGGTTGCATTTGGAATACTGTGGAGAACGAAAATGATTGGGATTTGAAACATAGTTTTACGTTTCCTGGTTTCGGGTACATAGAAGCTAGTAAAACAAATAAAAAATTTTGCATTGCACCATTTGGTAAGTAAGAAAGAAGCAAATATAAATTCAAATCATTTAATTTAATCAACTAACTTTTAAATTATAGATAGATCCATTGTACTCATCATAGAATGGGCTAGACATGCACTTTTATATGAGAGACCTAAAAAAAATGCTACAGTTGGCAGACAAGCCATACTAGATTTTGAAAATGGAATAACTCAAATTTTAGGAGCTGTAGCATTTAATCAACATCTGATTATTCTTACAAAAGACTCATTACTTCAAATGGAAATTTGTTTATAAAATGAATGAACTAGAAATATGATTGTATTTTCACTTTTGTAAAAAGAATTGAAGAAATAAAATAAGGATATTTTATAGTTATTTTATTTTATTTTATTAACTATATAATTGTTTTAATCATATTACAATGTAAAAAGATATCAATTATAAACAGTTTTACATATTTTTTTTTATGTACAAACAGGTACTCTTCAACTCTATGATAAAAAAATAAATATTCAGCAAACTTGTGACTATCTAATACAAAATTATTAAAATTAGACAATTTTAAACGAATTTTCAATAATTAAAGTTCAGTTAGATTATCTTTTTCGACTGTTATAATGATGTATCATCTGAGATAAATCATCCATTGATAAATCTTTTCCATTGGGATAATTCCAAACTAATTGATTTTTTATCGTTTGAGCAAAGTTGACACCAGCTATATCTGGTGTTTCCCAAATGGAGGATCTACTTTCTATATTGTACAAGTACATTTTTTTTTCTCTATTACCCCAATGCCTATGCCATGGTTCCTGTGTAGCTTTGAAAAAAATAACACTACCTAATGGATAATAATAAGTATCTTCATTATCATTTTCATAATCTCTTCTAGTAGGAGCATAGCACAATTTGTTAGCTCCGTTTTTCATCCTTTTTGTTGATAGTTGCAAATTTTGCTTTAAAGCATTATCTACAGGTATTAATTTTTTGACACGTACAGGAGCTGTGGAACGGTCAACTGGTTTCCAAATTGCTTTACAAAACATTTTGATGAGCCTATGCCTCTCTGTGAGGAACTTTTGAGAAATATTTTCTCCTCCTAGACATAATGCATCTATAATATGCAATGCATATGTTTTTGACTGAGCTCGATCTTCTCTTCTCATTTCTAAAACCCACTCTGCATATACTAAAGTGTCACGAGGTAATTCTACTCCTGGATTATTAAAGGGCATCCATCGTCCTTGTATCCATCTATAAACACTGGTCTTACCAAGACCTAGATAAAAAGTTGGTCCATCATCGTTTGGCCCACCTAATGCTGACTCTTCTACATTATATGCACATGGCACACAAAACCAATCATTAGGATTTTGACGAATGAATTGAGAACTTTCAAGAGTTAATTTTTTTGAGTTCTTATAAGAACTGCTTTGTAGTATACTTATATGATCTCCAAGAAGTTCTTGAGCTTTATTCTGAGGGTTTGATCTTCGGGCAACTGGTCTTGGTTCGTCAGGCAATTCCCAATGTTTTAAACATTGTTCTCGAACATCTTTTTGTCGTAGTTCAATGAGTTCCTTTTCTTCGGTATAAACAGCAATTTTTTTTAATCCTACAATTTGTTTTTTTCCTAATTCTTCATTTGAACTTTTTAGATAATTATAAAATTGACTATCTTTCAATATAATTTTCTCTGGTACTAATTCCAGAATGTCCCTTTTTTCATTATTTTCTAACAGATACTTGTTGACATCATATAAATAACTCATAACATCTGTAGTATCTTCTAATTTTTCTTGGCATATAAGATATCTTTCAGAGTTAGCGGGTCTTGAAGTATTTGGCTTGAATATTGAAATTTTCTTAAAACATCTGTACATGATATAAATAAGTCCTGCACTAAATGGAGTAAATAAATCAAACACTTTTGTCACAAAGTGTCCTCCCGGTCTAACTGTCATTAAAGCTACTAAGCATTGACATAAGTACAATTGTTTGGATAAAACTTCTTGGATATTTTCTTGTCCCTCCACAGAAAATCCTCCATCAGCCATCATGAAATGAACCCCAGAAGTTTGTTTATCTATTAACATTGCAAAAGCAGTTTGATTTTCTGGATCATACACATCACCATTATCTTTTGGTCCATAATAAGGATGAAAAGTTTCACTTGGTCCAGCATGGAAATCATGCAATTTAAAATCATTTTCATTTTTCAGTGTAAATCCAAATCCTTTGGCGCGCCACTTTCTCCTATAAAGTACATATTCGCTAAATCCTCCTGGACCAGCACATACATCAGCAAAGTACAACGGTTCATCAGGTGGTAATTTAAATTTAGTAAACATGAAATCACAAGCCTTATCGATATTAGCCATTTTTACAGCAGCTCTATTTAAAAATATAGATTTTCTAATTGTTTCATAGGGATTACTTCTAGTTCTGGCTTCTCTCATTTCATTTTTATCCAGCCTGTCAAATGCAGATTTTGCATTGACTATTCCACGAACTATGCTTGCATCACAAAATGTTGTTTCATTATCAATTTTTTTTGGCCTGGGACCATATTTGCGTAATTCAACCCATGATTTAAGTTCTTCTTCATTAGGAGCGTTTTCAAGTTCATTTTCTATCCACTCTATTTTTTCTGGGATCTCAACAACCTCTTCACGTGGGTCAAAATCTTCAGTAACAAATTCAAGCTCCTTTAATTCAAGACCTAATCCTCTGCGACCTTTCTGAGTAGATGTGGCAACAGGTTCAGCTCTTCCTTGTAATTCTTTACCGATACCAGCACCTGTTTGGTAACCCCATTTTTTCATCATTCGTTCAGCAACGCTACCTTTCAGGACAGTACTTTTTTGAGAATTTTTGACCGGAGAAGAGCCTGTAACTAAATTTTTATAATATATAAGTATAATTTAAAAATATTTTTTATTAATAAATCAAAGTATGCATTGAAAAAATATCAGTACCATCACTGAATGATTTTGATGATATATTTTCTTCTTTTTCAGTAACGGAATTTTCGAGAAAATTAGTAGCATTGTAAAATGTTTGAATTCTGGATGAATTGAACCTGTCTGTTTCATCTTGTGAATCATTATCTTGAGAACTACTCTCTAAAACAGGATACAATAATATTCAAGTATTAATTTGATATTACTATGAAAGTATATTACAATAGATGTTCAATTTTAACATTAGCATTAAATTAATGTTGAAAATAAATTTAAAAGCTTTTACGGGTATTACGAGTGTAAAATAAAATGTATTTGAAATCCTTATCATACTTTATCAAAACAAAATCAAAATATTCGAAAAAGCTCTGACGCCACATGATTTTTAGCGGTTATGTTTACAAAATCAAAACATTGTATTTAATGTTCTTTTTAAAGTTCATGAAGGTTGAGAAGTTTTCGTATAAAATAGATGGATGGATTGTCGCAAAGATGTATTATGAAAATAATTTAAAAAAAAGTATAATGTTGATTGTTATTTAAAACCGAAAAAGTTAAAAATACTTGGGAATCCCTGAAATTCCAATCCATTTACATAAAATACAATCAGCGCATGTTATTTTATAATAAAAATATATAACTTTTTCTCAATTTAAAATAAAGATCCATAGATTTTCGTAAAGACGGTAGTCGCTTGTTTATGACAAATTATACATTGATAGTTTTATTGTGTACATACGTGAAAAACTGGCTCTTTGCTCATCTTCAACATCTGAATTGCTCGAAGAACGTCTTCTGCGCTTTTTTGCATGATGTTCATTTTCATCTTCGTCACTATCTTCTGGATATCTCTTTGATTGTTTATCGTAATCTTCACTGTACATGATGAACTGTGTTGTTTTTCTTCACTTTGTCAAACTCAAATCAGAGAGACAGACTAGTATAGTTGCCACAATTATATGCGCACCAGCTAAGCGGCAAGTTACAAACTTACAACACAACTAAACATTCAGGAACACGAATTTTAGTATAGAGCCGTAACTTGTATAGAATCCAGAAAGAAATAGAGTGGAACAGAGTCCCCTGTGAAATGACCTGTGAACTTGACACACTAGGACCGAGGAACGCTAAACGATTGTCCTTGTACGATGCGATACGCGAACAGACTCGATCTAAGGTCTTTAACGAGTTACGCCATCTGCAGTTTGAAATATTAGTTAAGCCCACCAATCAATTAAATGTAAATGTTATTTATACTTGTATAAAAATGAAGAATTTTATTATTGAAAGAAAATAAAAACAATTTTTATAAAAATGACTAGTTTCGTCATTGTATTCGACAGTTGAATATAAAAAAGTACTGTTGCTTCGCATTAAAAATATTAAACACAGCCATGATATTCGAAAATTTTAAAACCAAAAAATTTAATTGTATTATATTTGCACGTGAAAGCCGACTTCATGAATGACACAAAAATTGAAAAATAACGTATTATTGCACGCGCATAAAGCTAATTAGGAGTCCAATAATGAATTATTATTTCTGAAACTATGTAATAACTTTAATCCGGCTAGATCGTTCGTCATAAATCTTTCAAAATTCATTACTTACACTAACAGAGCGTCATTGTAACGGATACAGAGCCTTACTTGAGGTTTTATCACAAAATAAATGTCAAATTTGAACGCTTGTAATTGATTAATTTTTTAAGTTTTAGCAAAGATTAAGAGAAAAGGCTTATTAATTTTATTATCTGTTTATTGCAAATATGTTTGGGAAAATGTTCATGAAACACAAGGAAATAAAGATATTTTTGTTTATTATTAATCTTATGTAATATTGTTTCAAATTCTCAATTACAATATTATGTATAATATTAATAATATGACAATGTATACAGGTTAGATACAATTCGTCTCACACAGAGTTCACTTTTTCACTTTTTTAAATATCTTCACTTTAAATTTTTTTATAAGTCAGTTGTGTTTTGTCCTTAATTGGTAGCGCTTATTCTTATTCACATTTCGTATGTTCTCATTGGTGGCATCCGTTGATGATTGCGATGTGCATTTTTTTCAAATATAATTTTATAAATGTTCCATAATGGACGCTTGTTCGCCACTGTGCAGGCATTCATCAGTCGTATTGTATTAGTATATTTTTTCTCTGAACACAATGTTACACATGACTTTAGGAATCTTACGTTATTGCAGCAAATACGTGCTCCAAAATGTAAGCGGATGATAATAAATATACAATATACATAATGGGGAATCGTTGTGACGGTTGAAGTGGTTTTGAAAAAAATCGATAGTAGGAAAAAATTGACTTACAAAAGCAATTCACAATTATGAATAAAACACGAATGTAAAATCATACACATGTGAATTCATTTCAGTTTATATATACCATACTCGAATCAAGGAAAATCGATATGCTTTCAGCTGGAGCACATACTGCTGAGTCTTAAGCTATGTAATGCGTACAGTTCTGTCACTTCTAACTGACTTAATATATTTAGTATAAAAGATTACTTGATGCTGAGTGGCGAAAATCACCGGATTTATCCAGGATCGTCCAGGAACGGCATGCATATTGAAAATGTAAAAGATTAATGTACAATTACAAAACAGTAGCTGTCATAACAAATTAGGTAGAATTTGAAATTGTTTCATAATGTAGCAGTCACATTTACAAGAAAATAATATTTCGGAAAGACCATTATGGAGTTACTAATGCAACATTTTCGGATTTAAATACAATTCGACTTGGTAATACTCAACAAAGCAAACATCGAATTTACATAATAAGGAAAAACGTATTATTTAGAACATGATAATTTTTTTGACGATTATTTAAATAACTGACTATTTGGTACAAAAACTTACATCAATCATCATAGTTATTTGTATTAAATAGTCAATAAATTAAAACTGTACACGCATAATAGATTATTTCTTACATCCAGATTCTGCTATGTTTCAATTGTTTAATTTCATTTTTTAATACTATAAAAACTCAACATTCTAATCAAATATCACTTAAGTTTTCAAATTTTAATTTATACAAATGTATTCTTACACATCAATGACAAACATATGAATTGTAATAACAATCAATTTTGAAAAACAACGAGCGCCATGCGACAAAAAAACGAAATGTATAGATAAAACAAAATGCTTTGTTGCATTGTCAAGATGATTCTTAGGTTTTTTACACAAATATTATATTATAAAAGGTATTACTCGTCGACTTAACAGTCGGAATTGTATCCAACTAACAAGTTGAGAATGCAATTCTAACTTGTTTGAATATTTAAAGTTACCAAGTTGTTATTCGAACAAAATTGGCAACTATTAAGTCATGAAAATGGCTAGAATAAGCCAAGATGATTTTTGGACAAAATTTAACAGTGACTCGGAAGAGGGTTCACGAATAAACCGTTATCTATTTATATTAAACCGTAATGTTGCTTTTGTGAAAAAGCGAATTGATTTTTGCCGTTTGAAAAATCTATCTTTTATTCAAGTTTATCCTGATATTTACTCATAATAAGTTCTCATTGAGAATGTCAGAATTTATCACAGAAAATTCTTTTAAGCATCACTCATAACTATCAGAGACCTCGTGATATTTGCGTGAATAATTTATCGAATTAAATGTAAATAATTTAGATTTTTGGAGTTTATTCGTATCACAGATCCAACTCCATCCGTTCAGTTGCGTATAATACATCGAGAAAAAAGAATAACTTCAATAAGTTAAGGTGCATTTCAATGAAATTGAGATGAATATAGATTATTTGACAGATAATAAAAAAGAATGGAACCAACAAAATTTTACATGAGTTGTGCATGTGTAGTACAGCTAAGCCAATACGCAAATAAGAAGCGAGAATGCGAAAAAACATACACATCGTTTACTGCATTAATTATAATTTCAATTGGTGCCTCAATTTTTTTATCGAATATTAGTTTTATATTTACTCACTTGAATATGTACATATTTTTCACGTATATTAAATGATGTAAAAATTAGATAATTCAAAGTTAATAATCGTTAATATATTATGACTACTACAACGTAGTTCAGATATTATGAACGCGCCTTGATCTTGAACAATTTTTTCTATTACAGAGGGGGATATAAAGATATAGATATATCCATTTTTTGTTAGAAATATTGAAAACCAAAATGGTTTTGTATCTCAAAAAATACTTAATCAGTCTATGTAATGAATTCACTCACTACTTTATCATTTTTACATGTCAATATTACGAGTTTTGAGAAAATCGACTACATTAAAGGAACAGTTCAATTTTTTGCGTTCTCTGCAACATATCAGACAAAGTTCACTAAACTGAAGAAAATTTATTTATATAAGATAATAAAAGCATTAATATAGATTAAAAACGGCAAAAATCAATAACGACTGGAACTTCATGTTTTCGTGATATACGCATGTTCTGTTTTATTATAAAGTACCTAGTATTTCTCATATAATTATACCATTCATGATGATTCTTACTTTACTTTTCAACTTTCTTATCAATACTTTATTTATAAATATGTATCGTTAAGTCGCGCAAACAAACATTCGAATTTGTTTCAAATATCTATTACAACAAACTGGAATTTGCGCCGCTCAGCGTGACGGACACACATCTTTAACGCATCGTCGAATCTAAAGTAAATAATAAAAAGAGCCGAGTTGCATCACACTTCTTTTTTTTATAATTCATATTCTCTAGTTTTTTTCGCACGCACAAACTAATTCATTGACTCGTACATTCTTATTTCTGACGTTTTCACACATTTCTTATAGCACTTAAAATTACGATCCTAAAGCTGCTCTCGTATAGCATTTAATCTAAAGATATTTTACAAAGAACATTCTCTTTTATTTATTTATATTTGCTTAATTGCGAGAACGTACTGTATCACTCATACTTGTCACATTGTGTATAAAACTCTAACGGAGTACATGATTACAATGTTTATTTGTATTCTATTTTTCTTTCATTTAATATTATTATAGTAATATGTATTTATCACGTTTCCTCGCTAGGCCACACAGTTTATATCGTAAAAGTTATTTTTGTCGCGTTACGAACTAAATTTGCATTCATTTTTGCTTTATATAATTTTTGCATTAATGTAATCTTCATAGAATTTCCAATCAAGAGTCTATCGGCAGGGGGCCTGTAATGGCCAGGCTGGCTATCGTCCGCGCACTATAGGCCATGTAATCCCTTGTGCACATCCGCGCCTTAGTAGCACGGTAACTCGAATTTAACTTCGATATCGGGTTATCTTTTTCTTAATCAATCTTCGTATACTGCGCCGATGGACGCGATACAACCTTTATATACACATTTTGATATATATATATATATACTTTTTTTATACATAGGACTTGAAAGACATCATAAATTTCAACACGCACACTCACGGAATATTTTTAGGGTATATAACCCATTAACTAATAAGTTCTTTAGATTTTTCAACTTAGCTCATCCGATATCAGGCTCGATTTTTTCATTGATGAATTAGCCTCTTGCAAAGTTTAAATTTCACTTGATTCATTCGTTTTTTGACTGATCACCTCAACGAATCAATAATTCGCATGAAAGAAAAAATGGGAAAGTGAATTGACAAAACACTTTGGTTTTATCATTTATCTTTTTTCAATGAGATGTAAAAAATCAATCGCACATGCAAACATTTCTCGTAGTACGTACGACGCATCGAGAGTAAGAAGTAGGTGATTTTTCGCTGCTTTAAAAGACTAGTCACATTTGCTCGCTCATATTCAATTATTTTTTTACTCTATGGTCACTGACTGTTTTGTCCAAAGAAATCTCGTTATCAACCAAAAGAATGTACTCAAAATTCAAAATGATTGCTTCAAATTCATAGTTTACAAAAATCTGTTGGGCGCAGCTCTCAATTGGAAATTGCGCATTGTTTCTTTTAGTCATTCATTTATGCACAGCGATGACCGAGTTTAATTGCTTCCACGTGGGTGAAAGCAATTTAAAAAGAATCAGTGGGTGTGCGTGTGCTGAAAAGTATCAGTAACAAGCCAATATATAAATGTACACAAAGATCGAGGGACACAAATGCCACTCTCGGCAGTAGTTGTAGCAACACAGTAACGGCGTCAGGAAAACAAAATTAGCAAGAACATTAAACACAAAAAACTGCAAGACGCTTCTTAATGTATGGCGACTGGGCTCTGCTGCACGCAAACTCCAACCATGGGGCTATCTTCACGCTCGGCCGCATGATCCGATCCACGCTGCTTGCTGCCGGCAGCAACCTGTGATGATACACCAACTTGACGATGGTGTGGCTCGGCGTTTACGGGGACGTAGTTCGAGTAGTTGTAGTAGCCTGCCTGCTGATGCTGACGATGCGGCTGATGCGTCGTCGGGTGATGATGATGCATGCCAGTCATTGCACTGGCTGACGGGAGAAGCGGGATACTTGGCAAAAGACTACTGTAGGAGCTGAGCGAGCTCGCAGTCTGCGGCAGGGATCCCACGCCCGCTGAGCCGGTGCTGGCGTCGATCGAAGCCGGAGCGGAGGACGTCGGTGCCATTGCTGGGAGTCGTCTACTGCTACCGGTACCGGCAATACCGCTGGTGCTCGAGTGTCGAGGTGACACGTCCATACGCTGCTGACTGCCGCTGGCACTGCCGTTACCGCTGCTACTACTGCCCTGACCAGAAGTGCTTGTCAATCCTACAGGTGAAAAAATGTAGTACATTAGTTCAACTACCAACAAAAGACATCAGCAGGACGGAATTGTGCGATTTTGTTTTATTGCAATTATAGACGTATACATTTTTTAAATTCTTTAATACTCTAATCATTGAATTTTAATCACACAACTCCGTTCATGAATAATTTTGAAATACCACCTAAGAACTAACATTTACAGGGGGTTTCAGATGAGGTCTGCTAAAAACTAAATCTAGAGGGAATACATTTTATATTTTCACTCAAGGAGAACGTGAAGTCAACAAGGAAAGATTTAAAGACATAAATATCCATAATCAAGTTACAACAGAAATCTACCGAATTAAAATGTTCCCAATTCACTTTTTAAGGGGTTTCATCAATAAGGATATTGTAATCTATATTCTGATATTTGATAAAACGATAAAATTACATATTTTATTCAATTCAAAGTATTTTTTTGAATATATTAATTCAATTATTATTAACGTCAACATTTTGTAAGAAATTATACTTAATTAATACATTGTTGAATTTTTGATTTGGTTAGATATTTATCAAATTAGTACTTAGTATCACTATATTTATTTTGTCCCAAAAAATCAACGATATATGAAACAACATGTAATGATCAGAGATGATACAGAATGTATAAATTCAATTGCTATGAGCAAAGAAGCATGCACGAGTGACAAAGAATGGCATTGTGTTTAAATTAGTATAGTACTGGATGCATTAAGCGAGCATTGATGAAAATTCAAATAAAGTTTCTTTATTTTATTTTAAAAAAGAGCAAATAATAAAGATTTCTATTATTTATTGGTATTTTTTTATGATACGTAAATAAATTTCAACTTGAAAGTGTCCATACATTCCACCCGATGCAACAAGATTATGTATTCTAAGTGGAAATATTTCAATCTAAGCTACAGGCTAATTGTAATTATGATCCGTAGCTTAGAATTTTCAAGTTTTTAAGTAAAGTACAAGGAACAACAAGCAGGATTTTATTTTACGTAAATCCGAGACTAAAGGATACAAAGAAAAAATAAATATTTATAAATATCTCGGGTTTGTTAATTTTATGAGCAATAAAGGATTTGATTGTTAGACAGAACTTACTTATGTTAGTAAGTAAGATTAGGGTTGAGGGGCCTAGGACGGGTCGTCGCCGCCCCGCGGATACGACAGTCATCGAGCCACGTACTGTCCCCCTATCATATCTACGGGCAACAACAACAAGAAGAATCGTTTTTAGTTTGTGCAGAAAATAAAAAAAATTTAAACATCAAATATCCAAAAGAAAATCGAGGATAAAATGAAAAATTAATTTTGCTCGCCAGCAAGTAAAACTATACCGATGACCTATTCAACGGCGCAGCATGTTTACATGAATAATTATCAAAAAAAAAATGAAAAAATAAAAAGCAAACTTAAAAACGTCGCTTGAGTGTGCAGAATCTCGATTTGAAGCCCATGATTTAAATATAAAAGGACCAGCAGCAATGTGAACTGAGAAATGAGTTTTTAATTGGAAATCTTGAAAAAACAACTTATTTAGAAAAAAAACTCTGATCTAATAATTTCTGCACAAAACGAAACTTAAGAAACCAATTTTCGATCATTTATTAAAATCATGTATTTTTTTTATTTTTAATAGCTATTTATTAATTTATGAATGAAATAATTAAGAAAATTTTTAATTTTGCGACGTATAAAAATAATTTCAAAAGCACTTAAAAATGTTTACTCAAGTAAATGGTTTTTTTGTGGTTCTTAAAAATCTCGACATTTTAAATAAAATTTTAAATAATAACGAAGCAGTAAATGGCTTGTGATATTAAGCATATGAAAGTTGTTCTTTTTTATAATTATGTTGTCCTCCAGATGAACAATTTTAATTTCAATACATGTTGTACATAGTCACTGCAAAAGTGCAATAGATGTAGTTTATTTGCAAAATCAAAAACTTAATTTTTTTTAATGAATAAATGTACGTTTTCCCAAAAAAATAAACGTACTTGATCAAAAAATTTTTTATACGACCTGATGAATCACAAAGTACACAGTTCATTTTTATAGGTTCACGTTGTCGCAATTAACTTAAAAAAAAATTAATGTTTCGTTTTCGATTTGAATTAACACAAGAAAAGTAGTGCTCACCATGATCTTGATTCATCGAGACAACTGCTGGACTGGTATTGGCACTATTGGCAGCAGCAATGTTGGTGTTGGTCCCTTCATCAGCTGTTCTTTTGAAAAAGTTATGCTGCAACGCGTAATAAGGCGTGACCCTAGTTTTTGGATCGAAATCCAACATCCTTAGTATCAGATCTTTGAATTTGAGATAATCAGAAATCGAGTGTCCGGGTTCACCGTGTCTTCTGCCACCGGGGCCTCCGGTTTCTACACCGAGGATATCGTGTAGTCGCCTCGTACCCGGCTGTTTGTACTTTTTGCCTTCTTTTGACTTTTTCAGTATGTATGAACCATCTGTGGGAACTTTCTCAAAGTACTTTCGCGCCTTGTGCGCTTGGTCCAATATGTGCTTGGGCGGCATACCTAGCACTTCGACAATTTTGTTCATTTGGTCGATCTGCAAAAACAAAAACAAAAATAGTTTAAAACAGTCAAAGGTTATTTCGATGTTTTAAATGTAATTAAAATTAAAATTTTACTTCATTGGCACCACTGAACAGAGGTTCTCCTGTATGCATTTCCACTAAAATGCAACCTAAACTCCACATGTCTATCGCCAAATCGTAAGGTATACCCAGCAGAACTTCGGGCGATCTGTAAAACCTAGATTGTATGTATTGGTATATCTGTAAAAGGAAGAAGAAGAGTTAATTAGAACACACGTGAAAACGTCGAGACTTGATGTCGAATTATAGCAAAGTTTATACGACGTACTCTCTGTCCAAGTTGACAAGAACTGCCAAAATCGACGATTTTGATAGCGCTTCGCTTGGGATTGCACAGGAGGATATTTTCAGGTTTCAGATCGCAATGAATAATGTTCAATTCCGGCGTAGACAGGAACAGCAGGGCAGTGCACAACTGCTGCGCGAACTTTCGCGTCAGGTTTAAGGAGACTCCTCGGAAATTCGTATTTCTAAGTAAATCATAGAGATTGTACGATAGCAGCTCGAACACCAGACATAAATGGTTTCGCCACATGAAATGCCTTTTGAGTTTGACTGAAAGTGAAGAGAAAAAAAGTTGCATATTAGCGATGCGATCGAATGACGGGCGTTGCTCTTGATAAAAAAAAAGGTGTTTGTTTACCTATATAATACTTATTATCTGTATCTGCTCGATTCATCATTTCTAGTAACCTCACTTCGATTTGCGCTTGATTTAAGAAAGGCTTCTTATTCTTGATGATTTTTATTGCCACTTGGGATTGCTCTTCGTGATCGAAGGCTTTTACTACTTGGCCAAAACTACCTTTACCTGAAAAATTTTAAGATATTTTTTTAAAACAAGGTCGTAAACAAACATGTAAGGAGAAAAAATTACACATTGCCATAAGCTTACCTATTAACGAATCGATCTCGTACCGATCGAGGAACTTCTCCCCATTCTTGATAATGTAATCATGGTTATCGTCGTCCCAACCGTCGTTGTAAAGTTTACGCTCTTTTTTGTGCGAGCCGTCCTCACCTTGCATCTGTTGCGCTCTTCGCTTCTTTTTGGCATAATACACCTGGAAAAAAATGATCGCATAATAAGAAAAGGTGCGTTATTAATAAGAATGGCTTTAATGAAGAAAACGATATGTATTGTCTCTTTGTATCAATGCCACAATTGCCGTGTCTTTCGTTTTCTCGATATCAGACACTTTTGTTTCATTTACAAAGACAAGCGCATAGATATGAATAAGTATTTTTGCCGTTTCCTATCCGACCATTCGTCAATGTAAGACTCGGAAATCTTTTTCTCTCTTTCTAAAAAAAAAAAAAAACATTTCTAGCGGGGGCAGATTAAGAGCATAAGAACTAATAAGACCGAAAGCTGAGGGATTTTTCTTTCTTTTTCTACCTATCTCTCGAAAATATATGTATATAACTCTCTTATCCTAGCTTTCATCGTTTTCAGCGACGACGTTCTTGCCGCCGTCATTTACGAATCGTCATCAACCCTAACATTTGAAATTGTATTCTGCGGATGAAAAAAAATGTCTTACGCGCGTGTCTGTGTGGTACACAACATCACATGGTTCCACAAAACATGAACGATAAGAATCTCTCTCTTTTTTCTCTCTCGCGCACGCATGTGTGTGTTATTATATGTATATTTGTGTGCATACCTATAGGTGTACATACTCCAGATAAGCCAGGCAGGTGGGTGTGTGTGTGTGTGTGTGTGTGCAAAAGTCGAGAGGGAATACATAAACACACGTATAGACACACACACGCGCGTACGCATCCCTCTCTCTCTCTCTCTTTTGGAGTTTGCAGGGTCGTTGACACTGCCGAGTGCGCGCGCGCGCGTAGTCTTGGGGGGGTAGCTTCTGCACAGCGCGCAACCCCTTCTACTCTAGCAGCCAGCCCAGTACCTCTGCCTGTCGCCGCGCTAACATCCACCAGCAAATATCTCTCTCGGCGCTTTTTTTGCATCCCTCCTACCCGTGTGCGCGCGAATGTATGTATATTCGCGGCCTATACATGCATGCACCACGCATATGTATAATAGCTTCGTCTGTCTATCTCAGAGCTCGCGAGCTTTTTTCTCTCACGGATTCTTGCTCCTGCAGTTCGAGCTTTTCCTAACGATATGCGTACATATACATGTGTGTGTGTGTTCGTTCTCTCCCTCTCATCCTCTCCTCCTCTCCCTCTTGGAGGACAAGCTTTTGGCTCGCGGCTTTTATTTCACAGTACAAGCAGCAACAGCAACCCCAAAGAATCTTTTATCGCGTACAGTGAGAAAGAGCGTTTGAGGGATGGAGCATTCTGTACGCCAGACATCGGGGGGTTGAAGGATCTAGCCCGCGAGGCACGCGGATTTCGCGACTGCTACTGTCCTTGTCGTTTTCAGAATTTCTTTGATTCTGCAACGACGAATTTTTTTTAACGCGTATATTTTTCCCGTAAATGCAAATTCCATTTCTGTCGGTAATTTTTTCAAGATTGATCAAATTTAAATGGACTATCAAAATTTTGTTTCGATAATTAACTTTAGGAGATAAGAGATTTCATTCATTATCACGTTTTACCTTTTTCACCGTTAATAATTTTCATATGATCTATCAAGAAAATCATGCAGAGTCTTCGCGGTTGAAACTCGAGCAGTTACCCAATTTCAATGTCCAATATAAATATCGTACACTTGATGTTAAAGATGATTAATAATCGTGGAAGCTATCATCAAGGATACAGATGAGAATTGCAATCTAAGGATGATTTTGTAATACCATGAGTCTGCGCTGTTAAAAGGCAGAGATAAAAGAAGCGCAACAAAAGAACAAGAGTTAGGTATGGAAGAAAAAAAAACGTCACTCCTATCGGCTGAAGAGCTTTTATACACGTATACGCTCAGACTGCATAGGTATATATTGCGGATATTGCTGCTCTATATGTTGGCGGGAAGGGCGCGCGCAGAATCCAACGTTGGCGACGCCAATGGAGCAACATCAGCGGCAGCAGCAGCAAGCCCCGAGACCTTTAAAGCAATCGATAGTGTTTCCTTGCGCGCGCTCTCGGCTTTTCGTCCTCTTGTAGGAATTCGACGCTGCCAACGCTGCGCTACTGCGAATGCCCTTCGCCCGCTTTGCGCCACGTGAAAATCATGCCGCTGTGCTGCTGCTGCTGCTGCTGCTGCTGCTGTGCCGATGTAGCCGAGCGACGACTCATACTGCTCATGCTAGTTCTCTCCGTGTACCTATTTCACCAGTCGGCTATTATATGATTCGTAACAAAAATGTCTCGGTCTAATTTTCGAGTCTTTGATGCCTATACCCAAATAGTTTTTGCATCTCCCCGAGCATTGTTAAGGCAGTTCCTGCTTATCCATACTGAACAGGCGCATATGGGCTATTGATTTTGGTTCGCGACTAATTAATCGAGCCTCCATTTATGTCTCAATTCCACGATAGATCCCAAGAAATTACAGTGCACTCGCCAATCCCCTTTTTTTTCGGTGTTCACGCTTGCACCATGAAGTTGACGCGCGAGCGCGCGCATATGCCCACTCCACCGCCGTCGTGCAGTCTGCTCTTTGGCTGAACGATTTTATGGTGCCAGCGATAGGGCGCGCCAGTTCGCGGAGTATGTAATACCCCTTTGCAGCAGCAGCAGCAACAGCAGCAGCAGAGAGAAGAAGAAAAAAGAAAGCGCGAGCGAGCTGAGAGGAACAATTTCTCTCGGCACTGCTGCTGCTGCTGCTGCTGCTGCTGGTGCGTGGTGCACGTGACCGATAACGTGTGACGTGTTGTGTCGTGCTCGCTTCCCAAGTTTTCACTTCGTTTCCATGTAAATGCAGGCAATTTTCTTGACGGTTATTTACCGAATGCCTATATATGTCCGCTTCCTTTTTTCCCCTTTTATTTCGAGCGAGTCGCTCTTATTTGCCTTCAGAAAGTGCGGCTGTGGCTGTGATATATGCAAAATATTCAAAAGTCTTTTAAATGTCCGTTATTTTTCTTCTCTCAATAAACCAAAACTCAACGTACGAGATTACTAGCATGATTTTTATGAAAAGAGCCCATCGTGCGTCCATTCGTTCGCGTGATTTATTCGATTGTCTCAAGGTCATCGTTCATTTGCATGGCGAAAAGTGAACTCTTGAGGATGTTTCGCGTGTACCATCATCCAGTACATGTTGCAAACAATTGTTTTTTATTTAATCACGATTCGCGTAAAATTTTTTAGCTTTTAGCGTTTGTTTTTTACATTTCGCGAAAAACTTTCACGACAGCTTTGTTATTGTAGATTAACCGTGAAGTCTATGTTGCTTGTCTTCTCTCGTGATAAGTTGAATGAAAAAAACTGCTCGCGAGGAAGTAACAAAAGCAACATGATCGAATGCTGCAAGGACTCATGAATGAAAGAATCGCAGACTTAAGCTCGCGTTACAGTTGCAATTTCATACATCTGCCGTATAATTAAAATAAGCGATTGACTGACTAAATTGTAGAGAAAACTTGATCAATTTTTTTCCATGAAGCAGAGTAGTTATTTCCAAGCACAATCCAAGTAAGAGCTTTTTTGACGGGATAATGCGTGATTTTTCAGTAACGGGCTCGTATCTCTTTCCTTCGAAGGAAGTCAATTTTTTCCAAAATTAGATTATTTTTTGGATGTAGTACCGATAATAAATGGAAAGCACACACGCGTACGTTTTATTGATCAAGTACGAACAATTTACGATATGCCATAGAGATCAACGAATAATAACTCGTACGATTGATTCGTCGAAAGTAAAAGACGTTAATTTCAAATTTCTCACCCAAGAGATTGGCATTAAAAGAAGAACGCGCGGAACGCAAAACATAGCGCGTCGGATCGCGCGCACGGCGCATAATACGCGCGAGGAATAGCATAGAAGCGAGTTATAATGTTATGCGTATCAAATTTCAACTTTTGGTTCGAGGCTCGGAAGGAAATCAAGAGTATCGGAGAAAAATGTTGCACACGCGCGTCCTCCGGAATGTGCGGTATGTGCTGCCGTGTGTGTATTATTTCCCTCCCTCCCTCCCTCTCTTTCGCTCGTTTTTTTCGGGATAAAAAAGAAAAGAAGGAAGAAGAGACGCGCGAGTATGGGACGTGACGCTTATTCGCATTGCCATTACTCGACTGCATATGTATGTACATGTATCGATGATGCTGCCGCTTCGATCGCGCTGCGCTGCAAGCGCGCGAGAAAAATGTCAAGCCTTATCACTATGGCGCCAACGACGACGTGTATTATACGTACATGCATATATACGTGCACACGCGTGCGAACTGTCTTATCGCGGTACATGAGGCGCAGTTTACGTGTCACGTTAAGCTTGCAAGTTTTTGTTTTTCCGCCTTTTCAAAATTATCGCGCGACACGTGGTACTTTCGTGACTGTCGCGTGCGGTTATTACACAATTTGTGCACCGCGTCGGCCTACACACACGTGCGGTCGAATTTCCAAATTGTGTTTTCGTTTCGTATGCAATCTCAGTTTTTTTTTCTTGTGTCGAACGAACGAACTTTATAATAACCGTAAGTCCCAACGATCTCGATTGCTCAAAAAAACGTAAAAAAACCTAGCGAGTCGGCTATTTCAGCTTATAAGAAAGAAAAAGAGTTATAAAACCTTCATCATCGAGCACACAGCTGCTCGTGTCTATGTAGCTATCTGTTTGTGTCCATATATATAATACAGACACTCACAACACACACACACACATTTAGACATACACAGCTACTCAGATCGATCGACAAAGAGCAAACCGTTGCAAAAGCCGTGAGTCACGCTACGCATTTTGAATCGTATATAGGAAGACGTTGGTATAGGTATAAGGCACAGAGAGCCAGAGAGCAAGAGAGAGAGAGAGAGAGAGAGAGAGAGAACCAATCGACCATCGGTCAGCGGAAAGTTTTTGGAACGTCGAACTTTTAATACCAAAGCTACCAACCCGATGCCTACTTTGAGTAATGGTGCCGATGTTGAGACAACGGCTGCTGAGCCACTTTTCATACTACCCGTGCGCATTTGGATACACCTTTGCATGCACTGTGGGGACGCCTATGCAATTCGACGCGTGGAAGCGTGGAATCGTATGTTGCATTAAATTATTATCATACGCATAGTCGTAAACAAAAGAGTCGCATTATTTTCGGAGCATTTTGGGAATAAAGTTTTTCCACAAAGAGCGAGAAAGAGCCGAGAAAAGAGTCGCTTTTGCTAAAATACTGAATTATTCATCGATGCCCGAGGAGACTTTTATGTTTAAATAGAGCTAATGGTTTGCTAAGTTTACGCAATACGGACGCAAAGTCGATTGACTCCAAAAGCCTAATCTTTCGAAAAATTGTGTCCATTGAAATCTAGCTACGTTGGAGAGGGGGGATGTCCCCCCTTCTTGACAAATTCGATCCATTGTGCAACTTTTTTCGTAGAAAGAAACACACTCTAGCTCATTTTCACTTAATTAAAAAAAACTTAACATCTCTCTGCGAGTTTTTTTTCAGCTACCGAGCTCGCATCTACTGTACGGTTCTCTTTTATTTTTCCATCGTCACACGGTGGCTTTCATGTTATGGCCAATGTATATCAAGATCTGTGGCACGCAAGCGATGCGCATGTCGATTCGCACACGGATATACGACTCGACAACGACCGCGTGACTGAGAATACATATGGGGTAAAAATCAGGCATTATTCTTAGCTTTAAAAAAAATTGTCTCCAAGAAGAAGAAAAAGGAGAAGACGACGACGACGAAGAAGAAGAAGCAGAAGAAGCAGAAGAAGAAGAAGAAGAAGGAAAGGAAAAACGAAGTGCAGGAATAAATCGCTAGGGAAATTCGTGCACAAATCTACGCGTGGCGTGAGAATAATGCGTCGCAACTGGAAGAATCTGAGAGCGACGTTCTCGCGAGCTCGCAACTGAGAAAAACCAATAAAATCAATCGGCCAAGCCGCGCGCATAGTGTGATGGATATAACAATAGATGCCTCGTGCGCGCACGTAAGAGAGAGAGAGAGAGAGAAGCACTTAGCATATATACGAGGAGAAAACTGCGCGACAAGCCTTCCTGTACTACCCTCGAGGCGACTTCGTCTCGCGTGTAGTAACCCTCCTTTCTTCGTCAAGAGGAGAAAGAGAGAGAATCTGGTATATGCGATATGTGTTGCTGCGCTGGGTATGTAAAGACGACACATTGTGGTCATGTTTTACCTCTGCGTGCACAAATAAACGCCCGAGCTTTTCTCTCTTTTCCCCAAGTTTATCGATAGCTCGGCTTTCCAATACAGGCTCGGAAAAGATTACCATACACGCGCACGCGCCTGAAAGAATTAAATGCTTGGGAGCTATGCTGCTGCGTGCTGCTGCGCGCACTTGACTCGCGCTGGTAAACAGACATATATCATTAAAGATCTTCGGCTTTGCGAGGAATTAAAGAATCTTGCCTCATACGCTCACGAATGGAGAAACGTATTTAAATAGTCAGGACGAGAGTCCGTGTTTGTTTCTACGAACGAAGGGTCGACTGTATCCAACGGGCAGAGATCGTTTCTTCAGCGAAGGATGAATCAATCAAGAAATTCCCGGTACCGCCCTTTTATTCTTCTCTATACGCCACATTCGGTCATAACGTGCCTAATACGCGATCCAGACGATAGGTTATACATTTATATACGCAAGTGCGTGGATATTCTTTACAGCATCCAACGACGCAGTTGACCTAGTGTGGTGGTATAGCTAAGCGCGCGCATAACTCTCGGACGCAGGATGCCTCTCCGCCAGACTTTCTTTCTCTTTCTATCTACTCTCTCCCTCCATCTCTCTCTCTCTCTCTCTCTCGCTATTTCTCTCGCGCCGTATGTAGAGAGGAATGCGCGAGTCACCGGAAGCAGCGAACGGACGTAGAGTGCGCATGCACACAAGCGTGTATATAGCACTGTACAGCAGGCTATTGTGCGAGTGCCTATACACGAGAGTGTATTTGCGCGAACTGTTTCTTGACCGACGCTGCACAGGTGCGTGTATTTATATACATTATATATTTTTGTATTTTTACAATGTTCACGTATACACAGAGAGCAGGACACTCCCATTTTCAGTGTCCTTCGCAGAGCTCGAGCTGTCGTGTGCAAGCCGAAAAAGGATCGATTTCCACAGGAGTCTCTCAATTAAATGCCCGTGAAGAGCAGCACTCTTGCGGCTCCAATCGTTCCTAGAGAAACTGAGAAAAAGTACTTGCGCGTGTGTCTTCACCACCTCGCATTTCTAGTCTCCGAGTCTCGGAAAAAATGAGATTTCGCTCGATCGTGTTCGGGACACCTGTAATAATTCTCCTCCGAGAAGTCAGCGAATACAGTTGACGTTTAATTTAATACACTTAGTTTCTCGTGCGTCGCCTCGCATTTTTTATGCATTATTATTCGTTCCAGCTGTAATTGCTTTTTGGTCGATTATTTAAAACGCTCGGAAAAAGTACATTATGTTTTGCGTCACTGACGAAATTGTGCTAATAACCAATATTTTGCACGCAAGTCAACGTGCTATTAACGAGTAGCAGGCCTAGTTCGTGCTCCAAAGCGACTCCATACGCAGTCGCTTGTACAACATTTTTGTCCGACGAAATATTGCATAATTCCTGCGTGCGAGGCAGCTCGAAACGCGTGTAAATCGCTTCGGAATGGTTGACATTTTATTAAATTATTTTTTGTCGTACAAACCGATCCAAAACATCCGAAACACAAGAGACGAGTTTCGTGAAATATGCATGACACTCGAAATAACGAAAATAGCCGTTAAAAAGTTAGAAAAAGAGCAGCAGAGCCGTCGTAGAGAACTTTAAAATCCGCAAAGATATTATTACGTAAGATACGAGCAGACATTAGCGTTTCCGCTGCGTGTGCCGACACAGTTCTCGGCATTTCCGGAGCTCCAGCGAAAAGAGAGCGGCGAGCTTCCGAGTGCAGGCGCGCGCAAAAGAGTATAGAAAATGCAGCAGCAGACGACGACGACGATGACGACGGCGGCATTTGGATCGACGGTATATATGTGCGCGCGATTCGAGGCCGGATTACTTCAGGATTAGCTCGGGGCACGGGAGAAGGAGGAGGAGGAGGAAGGCTGGGCGGAGGCATACGCTTCTCTCTTTCCGCTTGTTCCGGCGACGATCGAGTAGCTGCAACAAAAGAGAGACGTCAACCCACGCGTTATCGCGCTCGACGCATATAGAAACGTATACATAATGCTTCGGCAAAGCAATATGTATATAGAGACGCAGCGGCGCACCAGCGTGACAACAACCCACGTGTGCGAGCGCAACAAGAGCTGCTGCGGCCGGAAATCGCGACGAGAGCGTGGGCTGCGCGGCTTTTTTTCCAAAACCTTCGCTCTATACGTTGCTCTTAATCACTCGAGTTGAATACACCGACTAGTACTAGCCGGCGCGCGTAGATTCGATTTTACCTGACAGTTTTGAGCTCGTTGACGATGTTTCGAGACGACTCGCGTTCGGTTTGTTTTGACTCGAGACAAATTGTAAAAGAATTATCGTTTCAACAAAGTTCAAAACATTTATTGGTAAAACATGCTGAGTAAGAGTTCAAGGACTATTTCTCATTTTATACAGCTGAATAATTATTTGGTTGTTACGACGACACTTCATTATATTGCCTATGATCAAACTATTCGAGGTAAGACAACAATCGAAGAGAAACGAAGGCGTATTTGTGGCATTTAAACGTATACAGAGTATCTCTCACGTACGACATAGCACAAGAGCCCGAAGAAAAAAAAGTGCTCATTGCGTAATGGAGCAAAAAAAAAATAAAAATTGTTGGCAAATATGATATCGAAGACTCACCTCGTTAATGTGCTTGTAAGTTTTGATGAGATCAACGCTGAGCTTTCTCAGTGGCGCCGAGGCAGGATCGCGAAACCTGTGCGGTATCCTCGCTTGCATGGCGTGTATGTCGGCCGGTGCATCCTGCGAGGCGACGCCGCTCGAGCAGACGCCGCCGGTGCCGCTGCCAGTACCGGTACCGGTGCCGGTACCGCAGACTGGCTCCTCGGACACCAGTCGGCCGTACAGAGGCGCGCCACCTCCTCCACCACCGCCTCCGCCGCCGCCGCCTTGTGTCCCCGTCCTGCCGCTGCTTTGAACTGCAACACATGGAAATGCCGAATAAGGCGAGATTCGTTAGTCGTGTAGGAATCAAGGGCGTTAATGCGAATCGAGCGGTTCGATTATTATTAGTGAATCGACCCGCTTGAATCGCTTCGTAGATTTTTTAATTACTAAGCTTGATATATTATATACGGCCAAGTCTTAATCTAGAGACAAAAACATTTTTTGGCAAGGTAACGTTTCATTTCTAACTAAGGATTGTCAATTTCATTTGTAATTAATACATCCACTAACATATACAGCCACAATTAAGGGTATTATATACACGAACACTTTGAACATGTAATATTGATAAGATCTGACATCACGCATGACGTTTGAGTATGAGTTTTTAAATTCAATTAAAAAACTAAAGGAAAACAAATAAAAATAACGATATTATTAAAATTAAATAAAAGTAACAAATTAGAATAGATAAAAAATATATAATTTTACCTCTTAAACAGTTACAATTGAATAAAATTCATCTTAAGAATGAATAAATAGCTGGTTAATCATTTAATTTTTTTTTCTTTTGAATTTGATTTGTCCAAGGGATGGAATTTCAATTTTTTAAATGAATTTGCTAATTTTACTCAATTTTATTAAAAAATTACACAAGTAATTACATAATTTTATGAATTTATGAATTTATGCATAAAGATCGAGGAGCGCGTGTCGCGCTCCGAATGGCTAAAGTATGGCAGACGAGAGCAGCGTACTCCACGCTCCTCATATACGCGAGAATTGCGATTTCGGGACCCGCGAAAACAACCTAACGTTATTATTTGAAATCTATAAAACATTATATGATACATAAAGATCTGTAAATGTATTAGACATTTATTAGGAAAGTTTAGGGAGCGCACCTGTGTTTTTGCTTTTTTATAAAAAATTTAAAACTATGCAAAATAAATTATAATTTTTAAATTTTTAAATGATGATTTACTTTGCATTTTTTCAAATTTACTAGCTACAAAAAACAACAACCATATTATATGTTTTGTTGTTTGATCCAGCAAGAGTTAGATAGACTCGCCGTATAAAAGTGCACCAGCAGTCTCTTCACACTGAAAAGCGTCAGCCAATCACAAGGTTCAAAAAGCTTTGTCTTGAAGGAATCTATATTCCTATGATTATTATAGGTTTATTAGCCATGTCCAACGCGTCTAAAGAAATTTCATTTCGAAATAATCAACCGGAAGTGATAATTTTAATGAAAAATCGTTTTTTCTTTTACCTATTGATAACGATAAAGTATTCTGAGAATACAATATAGCTGCATCAACAGCGGCTATGTCGAGCAATTTTATACATTACACTTAATATACGCAAGTAATTGTTTGATCCATTTTTGCTGCAGCGACAAAATATTCCGCGCCGTTGTCAAAATATGTGCAAGGAAAAAAGTCTTTATTGCAGCTAAGTTCCGATAACCCCACCATGCGCGCGTCTGGATCAGCAATGTACACACACACGATCAATGAAAGAAAATAAATTTCGACTGATAGCCGACGTTGAAAGTAAATGCTGCAGAGCGATTGCACAAATATGCAACTAATTTTTTGCTGTCGCCATGACTGTCACGTGGGAGGAACTGTTCTCAGCTAATCGCTCGCAACTTTCGCTTCTCTTTCGGATAAAAATAGTACATGTATAATGCACATCATCGGCTCGCTAAATATTAATAGGGCATTTTGCGCATATCTCGACGCACTGGGTCCCAAATAAACACTCAGACGTCGCGGTTATAATTGTACAGTCAATCGAATTTATTGAAACATCACGGGCTTATCGAGCCGCTCGGCAAGATATAAACAATGCGTATCTCTTGTTGACGCGCATGCATATTGTATCATAAAGCTCATACCGGCGACCAGACAGAAGCATGGCAGACATCGGCACATTATACGCAAACACAGAGCTACGGCAATGATCGAACATTGTACGCCGCGCACGAGAGGAGCGCTCGAGTACGTAGCATATATCGGTAATAAAGTAGGTCAGGGCGCGGCAGTAGCGTACGCTTGAATGAGAGAAAAAATTTTCATTCATTAATTCGCACGCGCGAGCAAGCGAGCCGACACTGGGCTTTATCCGTTATAACCACAGAGAGAAAGAGAAGAGAGAGAGAGAGAGAGAGAGAACGGGAGGGTTCCTCCCGCACCACCGCAGAACTCCGCTACACGTCTGGCGCGTTTCATCCCTTTAGGCTTTGTCGGAGATTTTTTTTTTTAAATATATCCCAACGCCAGTGAATCGACGAAAAAATCGGCTAATCGAAGTGGCGGCAGCAGCAGCATCAGTAGTATAACAGCGGCAGCAGTAGCAGGAGCAGCAGCCGCCGAGACCGAATCGATCGTTAGCATCGTTGTCGCGAGCTGACGCCGCAAGCGAAAGAGAGAGAGAGTGAGGAGCCTCGTCTATGCTCGAGCCATTATGTATATATAGCCGCGCGCGGCGCGTTTCATAATGCACCGAAATGGAAGCGCCAGACTACGACCAGACGTATATACGCGGCGCGTCTCGTCCAAAGGTTTTCTTGCCCCTGCGCGTACAATGGACCGAATGCTCACTATCGGGAGGATTTTTCATCGAAGAGCTTGCGGGCGGCGACGGCGAACGGACCGAGTTTATATAAACGGGACATATACGTGTATTGTTGTGTGTCGTTTGCGCTACACACGCATCTATAGGTAGATGTATCTACGGCGAAAAGCGAGAGAGAAGTTGGAGTTGACGGTGCGCGATAAACGCCCTTATTGTCACCGACTTCGCTCGGATGCATTGGCCAAAGAACTGTGCGCGATTCGTATTAGATAAATGCTTTCTCCTCCCCCGCAGAAACAGCTGCGAGAGAGCAGAGGAGAGAGCTACAAAAAGTGTATTTATTTGCTTAATCTGGAATTTGTCGTCGCGCTCGTTTGAAATATGCCATATTTCCGACTCGGGCTCGACGGTGCAAGAGTATTTTATAGTGCTCCGAGTAATAAGGCGTGTACACGCGCAGATAAAAACTTCCGCGCCGAGCCGAAGCCGTTCTCTCCCCCTCTTTCTCGCAAATAATACTGATTGATGATCCAAATTTAAATGACGCGACACTTAATTGCAGGCTTGCGAGCGACATTCCACAGCGCATCGTACGTATATAAATGTAGAGGTGCGTGCGTGTACGGTATTATAGCGCACGATTTTACATGAGTATGCAATTACAGCTGCGCGAGCCTGAGTCGTCAAAACTCATCTTCGTCATTCATAAATTTGTCAACGCAAGTGTATATGAGCGAGCGAGAGAAAAAAGAAAGAAAAAAATTTTCATTCAAGTTGCAGTGGCTCGTCTCGCTGTTGGTACATGCGATACAGATGCAGCTACTGTTACAGCAGCCAGCGACTGCTATCGCGCGAGGTCACGAAGAGTCGAGGCAGGCAGGCAGCCGCTCGTTCGCAATTGCCGAGACTTAGCTGTATATCGCACGCGCATTCTCAGCTTCATTCATGCCAAGCAGCCTCTCTCTCTCTCTCTCTCTCACTAGCTGACTGGCTGGCTGGCTGCACCTCCATGTTCTCTCTCTCGCAGCTCTTCTCTGTTCATGTGCAGCACGAGTGTAAACGCGTATGTGTGTGTGTGTGTGAGTGTATGTGTGTGCAGCGACATATCGTCGCGTCTTCCTCTTGGAATATAGCGAGAGGGAGAGAAATGGAGCTACTACTTACCGGAGTCATGTGTAACATGGGTGTACTCTCTCGCATACATACACACATACACACACACATTTTGGTCGATTCATGCAAACTACGCGCTTATTCCTCAACGGCCGACGATTGTACAGACAAGCCCCGGCTCGATGTACCCAAGTATGTAGTAGTACACGAGTGTAAGCTAAAAGTAGAAGTAGACGATGACTGCGAGACTGCGACGAACAAGTGCGGAAAAAAGGGTGCGCGAATAACACGGACTGAGAAAAATAATAACTACCGTAAGCTCGTTGCAGTTGTGCAAAAGAGAGAGAGAGAGAGAGAGAGAAGAGTTGGACTGCAGGTATATTAGCCAAGAGGTAGCTGCATCTTTCTATTTTCATTCTCTCTCTCTCTTTCTTGCTCCCGCTTTTAACCGTGTGTACAGCAACGCATTCTTCTCTCTTTCATTCTTACTGTTGCCGAGCTGCACCGTGCACGCGCACGCTGGCTCATTCTGGTCCACTCCCTCCATGCCGCTACCGCCGCTGCCGTAGCCGCCACCGAAACTTCTTGCGCTTTCATTCTTTATTTTTGGGCACATACGAGAATGCAGCAGCAGCATCAGCAGCAGAGTGAAAGAGAAAAGAGCCTACTCGCTCCGAGTGCCACGCGCGCTTGCATGCTCGAAAGCGCGTGCTGCGTGTGCGCCAAGCCGAGACTCCAGCCAGTTATGTGCGTCATGAAATGTTACATATTATATGGTCTACAACTTATTCATTTCTTCCGAGGCACTGTTCTCTGTATTTGCTGAATATGTACCCTGCACACAGGACCTACAGTTGCGTATTGCTGAATGATGTAGTTTTGCAGTTAAATGAAAAGAAGGAGACTTATTGGTACAATGAGCGTTTATAGAGATACCAGAGTCAGGCTGAACATGATTTTTTTCGACTCAAATTTTCTGAGATTCTAACTTGCAATGACTTTCTAAAAAGCTTCATGAATATCTTATTCGGGGTACCTTTGGTAAAATTGCGATTTACAAGTTTTTTTGGGACGAGAGCCTAAATTGTGGCTTTACCTCGACAGTATATCTGATTTGTAGGTAGTAAAATTCAAAATATACGTTTAAAGCTTTTTTGATTTAATAATTGCAGAAAGGCAACTGCGTCGATTAATAGTATCTGAAATGTTTGAAAAACCTTGATTTATAAAATATTTTCGATATCATATCACACTTAGAAAATTGATGTTCATTCATGAATGCATCCGTAAAAGAATGCGTGTGACATTCAATTGCGCTAAATATAAACTATGC